AATCGCGCATTTGATTTTGCAGAGAGAGACAAAAGCAAGTCGTGCACAGACCCTTTTCAAGTGGCCCATGAATAATGTTACGCTGCGGTCACGACGAAAATGACAAGTACACAATTGGTCGATTATAATGCTTTCTAAGTACAAAACAGACTCGCAAGGGAAACGATGAATCTTTTGTAGTATTTCCGGGACGTTTAATTTCTCGATTTGGTGATGTCAACTGGCCACCACGGTCACCGGATTTAACGGCTCCTGGCTTTTTTATGGGGATTTGTGACAAATAGATGTATGCCGACAAACCAAACACTGTAGAGCAGCTGAAGAGCAATATTATGGAAACGATTGAAAATATTTCTCCCGAAACCTACCAAAAAATGATGGAAAATGTAATCAAGCAGGCTCAGGTTTGCACGGCTTCTAGAGGCGGACATTTGTCTGATATTATTTTTCATATATAATTTCTAAGTTTCAATAAAAGATCAGTCAGTTACATATCGGCCACCCTGTATATGTATAGTGTTAATAGTGATGAAAATATATACCTCGAATGAGAAGACCATTATTTATCTCTTTATCAGTTATATTTTTTATCCAATTTTTTGACTGATTTGGTATTTTTCAAATTTTAGAGACGCCATTAAAAATGACCCCGAGATAAATACGTCAACAATTATAGACGTAGTGCTCAAAGAAAGTAAAAAGGAGGAAATCGTCTACAAGAATCATGCACTCCAAGCACTAGCAGAAATAGTATCTTCCTTAGAGGTTGACAGATTTGAGGAAATCTATGCCATCACACAAGATATCATATTAGAAACAAACTCAAACAAAGAAGAAGAAGAGGATGCTACCGGTGAAGAAATCAGCAAAAATCGAGAACATAAAATCAAATTAAGAGAAACAGCGTACGAAACGTTGGGCAAAGCGTGGCCGGAAAATAGTAAAGCGACTCAAGAGAAATACAGAGATGTTATCATTGAACAAACTGTCAAATATCTACCATTGGTTACGAGATCCATCCAAGTCAGTATTTTATCCGCCTTGTACTATTACATAGAAAAACTCACCCTTTTGAAGGAAGAAAACTTAACTGACACGGAAAAGGAAAGCTTAGAAAAGATAATAGATAATACCTTGAAGGCCGTGGAGTATTCCGTTGGTATAGCAAAGCATACACGGCTCAGAAAAGAAGCGCTGAATGTGATTCTTGGTCTTGGAAAGAAGTTGAAGAACAAGAACAGAACGCAGGAGTTTGAGAAGTTGAGTGGTATGTTTAAGGAAATGTTACCAAATTTGTCGAATGATACCACGCCTGAAATAAAGTCTAGAGTTAATGATATTAAGAAAATGTTGAATTGTAATGTGTGAATTTTGTTAGCAGGGACTAAAATCTGTGTTTTTGGTTTTATTTATTGAGTAAAGTAATTTCTAACATTGTTTTGAATTTTATTATGAATATAAATACAAGGTGAATAAAAAATAATCGTAATATTTCCAGAGCAGAAAGTAAATCCAAAAATAACCAAATCAAGTAGGTTGACTCTGCACTTCCTACGCCATACTATCATCGAAATTCAGCACAAATTGAACCCTCTGAGATGGAGATTTCGAACATCTACGATAGGATAAATTTAACCGATCAAGTCAGTCAATCAGGGCCATACAATTTCTCCATAGACATTCCTTCCCTGCTCTACCGGCAGGCACGTAGCCAGGGGGGGCTTCCGCAAGAAATTTTTTTCAGATTTATCATAAACGACAGACTGAGAAAATTCAAGTGATCTCAATCATATTATGTAAATGTATGAAACAAATAATTGAAAATTTTTAGCCTATGTCCGTCCTTGAGGTCTAGTCTATATCTGTGCTAAAATTTAGCGGAATTATAAAAAAGTTCACAATACTGATTGCTCCAGTATTCTTGGAGATGAAACAATGGATGTTTCAGGCACTGAGCAATTATCACTATGTTTGCGATATGTCGATTTTACCTGAACACTCCAGTATTGAGAGAAGATTTTGTTGGCTTTGTCCCCAAAGCCTAAAAATACTGTTACAACACATTCTTTCTCATCTATACTTCTTCTCCAGTTTTCCACCACCATGTGGATTGCTGTATCTGTAGACTATTTTTTCAAAATCCAGCTTGATTTTTTGTAAAAAATTTGTTTTCTTTAATGATTTGTCGTATATTATCCCTTCGAACAGCTTCTCAACATCTAGCTAAACATTAATCGGTCGCATATTTGTATATAGCTCAGAATGTCAAACTTTTGGCACATGAGTAATGGTGGAACACTTTAACAGGTTGAATGCCATTTCCATTTCGCATACGACCGCCTTCAAATAACCCCACCATGCCTTGGCGGTCGTATGCGACTGTTCCACACTTGCCTTCAAAATTCATTTAGGTTGATCGGCACATAATTATAATGACAGCAGACCGCTGTGGCATATACGCCTAACTTAAGTTATCGGTTTTCGGTGTAGCTTACAAGGGAAAGTGAAAATAATAGTGATTGTTGCAAAAAGCTTCACTTTCGTCGGCACCAGAGACTAACTACGATTTTTCATGGCAATCAACCTGATAATTTTAATGGGATTAATGATTAACCAATAATAATTTCTCTCTAAATACGAGGGTGGTCCCAGAAGTACCCGGCCTGGCCTAGAGATTGCGATAGTTGTTTGAAAAATAGCATTGTTTTAGAAAGTATGCAACCTATAAAGCATAATGTGTCAAGTTTGAAGACGCCACGTTGTCTAGTATTTGTTTGGCAGCCATCAATACTGAACGTTTTCAGTGAATTTGTGAAAGTGGAGAAAATTGGTCATCGTTATGTGGTACAATACTTTTATTTCAAAGGCCTCAGCCCAACCAATATAAAAGCTGAACTGGATTCTACTCTGGGTGACTCTGCTGCTTCGTTTACAACAGTAAAATATTGGGTAGCAGAGTTTAAACGAGGCCGTATGAGCTGCCAAGACGAGCATCACCAAATGAGGTGACGACTCCAGAAATGGTGTAGAAAATTCACAAAGCGGTACTGAATGATCGTCGACTAAAAGTGAGCGAGCTAGCAGACATAGTAGGCATTTCAAAAAGTGCGGTTCATCGCATATTTGAAAATTTGGACATGAGAAAGCTGTGTGCAATATGGGTGCCGCGATTGCTCACAATCGAGCAAAAACAGTCTCGTGAAGATGTTTCAATTGAGTGTTTAGCGAAGTTTCACAGCAAAAAAGCAGAATTTTGCGTGGTTTCTTAACCATGGATGAAACATGGGTCCATCACTTCGCACTCGAGACAAAAGAACAATCAAAACAATGGACTCAAAAGGGACAACCGGCTCCAAAGGAGGCGAAGACCGTTTCATCTGCAGGCAAGGTTATGGCGTCGGTTTTTAGGGATGCGCGTGGGATAATTTTCATTGACTATCTTGAAAAAGGTAAAACTATCAACGGCGAGTATTATGCGAACTTATTGCAATGTTTGAGCGATGAAATCAAGCAAAAACGGCCGCATTTGGTTGAGAAGAAAGTGTTGTTTCATCAAGACAATGCACCAGCGCACAAATCCGTTATTGCAATGGCCAAAATTAACGAATTAAAGTTTGAATTGCTACCTCATGCACCCTATTCACCAGATTTAGCCCTCTCGGATTATTTTCTGTTTCCAAACTTGAAAAAATGGCTCAGTGGTCAAAGATTTTCCAATGATGAAGAAGTGATGTCGACAGTTAATGGCTATTTTGAGGAGCAAGACAGTTCTTATTAAAAAATACATTTTTTACAAAATTATTGTTTTCTTCGTTGGGTCGGGTACTTCTGGGACCACCCTCGTATATTGAAACAATCATTTAGAATCTTTTTTGAGAGATGCTCACTCGAATTTTTATTAGATTTCAATTCTGGTATAGCTTTTCTTAGGTTGTTGATGTTTATTGTCCTAAATTGATTCATCGATGAATTATGATATACTTGTGATGGACAAAGTTTGTATCAGAGTCATCAATCGTCTTCACTATTTGATTTACAGTGTCTATAAAATAAGTGTTCACGCTTTCTGCTATAATTATTTGTTCTGTGACTACCCGAACTTCAAAACGCATTTTAGATAACTCAGTCTTTCTATTTGGAGAAACAGTATTCTCAAATGTTTTCCACATCATTTTAGAATCATATTTATTACTATCGATCTTCTTATCGTAGTATATTTTTAAAATTAATTAATAAACGCTTCGATCAAATGCCTATCATGCTACTTATCATTTGATGGCGTGGAATATGGCTGCACGTTTTTCAGTTACTAAAGAGTCATCCTGTTCAAAATGCGCCTATATGGCAAAATAACATAGACAAAATACAGCTTGTTGTTTTCAGTTTTGCAGTGGTCAATACTTGTGATAAATGGCACAATGCACAGTCTTATTCCATAATCAATTTGTTTCTTGTTCCAGCAACACACAGCTACATGCAAGACAGCATATTCTGCGTGAAGTGGCCACAAATATTCTGAAATCAAGTGCTATTGAACCTTCTTTTGTCAAGTTATATGTCTATAACAATAAAATACTATCCACCAATGCCCCACAGCTACACAACCCAATTAGTCAAAATTCTGTCAGATTCATGCAAGAGAGTTGGAGAAAGTATTGTTAAAATTATAACTAAAGCCTTTTCCAAGTTATAACTGGTGATTTCTGGATTGATTCATCATATACATTTACAAATATGATAACTGTTGTTTCAGACCATCACATCGGTTATACATTGTTGGACCATGAGTAATACTACTGCCTAAATTTAATCATTTATTATATTGAAATTTTGATCTACTCAGTTGTCACCTATATAGGTCATACAAAAATCTCTAATTCTAGTGTCAGTACAGTAACATACATGGATAAAAAGCTAAACATCATTTCATTTCATTGTTCACAAAAATATTTGCTCAAACAGCACATAGGCATATAAAACAATGATAGTGAAACATGAAACTACTTTTTAGTTCTTCTTGGCCTAGATTCTCTGTTGGTGATTGCCATTTTTTGTTTCTTGTTTGGAGGTGCGTATTTTTCTTCCAAGTTGCTCAAAAGATCAGAGAATTTTTGTGCTCTTTTCTTCATGTTCTCGTGCATCTCTCTTTCAATATCCTCCATTTTGATGTTCTCCAATTCTTTCTTCTCCTTTTCCCATTTCTTGTGTCTTCTGAGTGTCTTTGCTTTGTTTTCATTGAAGAACTGTTTGAAGCTTTCAACATCTCCGCTGTCTACCATTTCTTGTACTATTTCTCTTATTCTAGGTTCATTCTCACAATTGCTGAAGGGAACCATCTCCAATATTTTGTTCCAATCACCTTTGCTATTAACATATGCCTTCTTTATATCACGACGTTCTGTTTCTGAGCCAATGTACTCCTTTTCATGGTTCTCAATATCCTTGATCTCAATTGGTTTGAACAGCTTACTCCAGTAGTCCATCCAGTTGAATGTGGAGTCCATTTCTTCATCAAATTCTCCAGCATCATCATATACTCTACGCTGCTCCTTATTCTGAAGAATTGCATGTATCTTTCCCAAAACTTTGAATTTCTCTGTGGCAACTTCCTTTTGGTCTTCATCAACTCTGTCAGGATGCACCTGGAGGGACAATTTGTGGTAGGCTTTTTTAATCTCTTTCTCTGAAGCTGATGACTCCACACCGAGTACTTCGTAAAAATCACTACTTCCAAAGTATTTCAAACACAGTGACTTAAAAGACATGATTGCAGTTAATTAGTACAAAAATTTTAACAAAGAAATGTTGCTATAAACAAAAAATCCCGCGAAAATTAAGCGTATAACCTATTTGTTTTGACTTTTGACGTTGCAGAGCTGTCAAAATAACGGGTCCCACACAGTTGGCAAGTATGTCTCCTACACGATGGTATGAACTTTTTAGTCTCGGACGTTCGACGCATGGTGGCGCCAACGTTATTATCGGTGTCAGTGTCGCGCTTGAATCTTCACAATTAAGGAAAAATTATACAAAATGAACGATGAAATAATTTCAGATTTGTTTCCAGCTTCCAAAACTTAAGTCAGTCAGAAGCCTCAGAAATGTCGAAAAACGAAGTTTGACCGTTTTTTGTTTGTTTTTCGACGATAACTCCGCCGCCACTGTACCGATTTTCAAAAACTGCAGAGCGTCATTCTCATAGTAGTAACCTAGGGTCACAATTCCATCATAATCCTGATAGTACTTTCAGAGTTATCAGTCGTTTTCTTTAGTTATGAAATGCAAGTCAATATATTTCTCAACTAGTCTTGCATTGCAACAGGACATTATAATGAAACAACCGTAAGCACTTGATAATTTACAATTTACTAAAATACATATCGTTGGGCCAGCCATAACTCACTTGCGAAACGTCCAAAATATTAGCAATATGAAAAAAGTATTGTTATAGCAGCCTATGCTTTGTTTGTATACTAATTTAATTCATTCTCCTCAAATGTTAGTTATGGAACAGACATTATTATGAATAGTTAGGTATTCAAATCAAAATACTTCATACATACCACACTTCACCACAATCGCAGCAAACAAGTAATGTTTTTCGCCGCTACTGGTTCTAACCTAAAACCATCAAACACATGACATCTCGTGTGGGAGCGTAACGAACGATGCTTCCAACGTTGTAACGTCCTTTGACGCGGGTCAAATTTACCGACATAGCTCGAACGTGCCATGAGGCGAACGTTGGACATATGCAATCCGTCAACGCTCTCCCACACGATGTGGCGAATGGCTATATAATATGTTCAACGTTGTAAGGCATTTGCCACATCGTGTGGGACCGGTTTTACATCGCCAGTTTTTCCTACTTACTAGAACTGGACTGTTAATTCAAGATTTGATCTGGAAGAAACAACTGTTCACCATTTTCTGGACCTTCGAACAGATACGTTCTATATCACTTGAGCCAGCCACAGACGTCGTCCCATTTTAACAGACTTGCTCGACATGCCAAACTTTGCATGACAGGGATTCGCAAGAGAGCAAGATGATCGACTGGGAGCGCGAACTGAGCGATTTTCGTAGGTTGTCGAACCAGTTCACTTATCAGAGCCGATTCTTTGAACTAGTTTATTCAGATACTACTCAACTCTACCTCCCAGATGTTGAAATGTATTGAATGAACGAACTCAACAGTTGTCAGCAGTGGTAAGAGGCAAGCCCGTGCGCATCTCCCCTCCATGGGTTAGTATAAATATTAAGGCGCATTTCCACTGAGGCAACAATGAACGACATGTGGCATGCTACTTATTTCCTAGTGTTGCCTCTTGTTGACGTTCGTATCGTATTTAAAGAAATCAACCGTTAATGAATAAGCCAACTATGGAAAGAAAATGAGAAGATGTTTCCTTCTTGTCGCCCTGAAACCATAACCAACCGCAGACAGTACTGTTTCGGGCTCATTAGCACTCGTCAGTGCGATATAGGTCTGTTCGTCTACTACTGGTAAGTCAAGGAGACAGCTGGACAAGACGCAAACAATCGTATACGTCTAAAAGACTGAAGGTACTGTACGCTAGCAAGTGGCAGTAGCCACCAACTATTTTTGCCTCTTGTAATTTATCCTGCTTTAGTCGTGCATCTTTATATCTTTCCGATTTGTTATTCCATAATTCATCCGAATTATGGTAATCTTCAATTAAAGATAATGTTTCTTCATTGGTCCACTCCATTTTGTCGCCTGCTACAAGCCGCATCGATCCGAACGGGTTTGGATAGCCGGCGACACTGATCAACACGTGGATTCATGTCGCTGACGGCGCCCTCGAGAGGCAACAACGGGCAAATTGTGGCATGCGGCAATGAGACATTTTTTTTGTCGCTTTGTGTTGCCTCTATGGAAAGACAGTGTGCCTCATGCGTCAATGCCGTATGCTACATGTTGCCCAGTGGGATTGCGCCTTTACCGTGTGAGTTTTTTGCATCTTCTTTTTGCAATTTCAACTCTTACCACTGACTGTAGATATTTCATATATTGTGTTTTTTGTTCGTTTGTTTATTAACTTTTATTAGTGTTAATTTAAGAGGCGTTATTTTGAAACATGTCGGCATCATCATCACCTTCATCACTGCCAGAGTCTCACTCTCAATCGTTTGAAGATTTACCTATTCTGAATGAAGATATGTAAGTGTATCTTTTATGCATACTGATACTTTAGCTTGTCACTTGTCACCGATTTGTGCTAAAATATAGGTATATTGTTGGGTATGGTTTCTCGTGGCCCGAGTAAAGATAACATGATCACGCAAGACAATTATGGAAATACACTCTACTAGACTCCAGAAGACTATCCGTAGCGAAATTTTTCTCGAAATCGTTGCACACTGTTTGAAAAATGCAAATGAAGATTGGAAAACTGCCGCTTTGACGTACTAAATGACTCCGTCGTTACTCCGGGATAAACATACTATCTTGTCACGTGTAGATTGCGGCGTTGCCAGCTCATCGGAAAATTTTGCTACCTCTGCTTTTTTGCTAGAATGTTATAAAAAAAGAAGCTTTGGATAAAATATTGAGGGATACCAATGGAGATATATAAAATTTGAGGCGTAGCAATGTTTGCCAAAAAACTATAAAAAAGCTGTTATTTACATTTTGCGTCGCCTGGCGTCTATGCGGCGGAACGTTAATGTCTCTGAACACTTTTGTTTAGTTTTTTGGCAAACATTGCTACGCCTCAAATTTTATATATGTCCATTGGTATTCCTCAATATTTTATTCAAAACTTAAGTTTTTTTAATAACATTCTACCAAAATAGCAGAGGTAGCAAAATCGTCCGATGAGCTGACAACGCCGCAATCCAGTTGGCAACAATGACAAGGTTATCTGTCAAGATGCGTGTCTATCCCGGGGTACCGACGGAGTCATTCAGAACCTCAAAGCGGCAATTTTCCAGTGCATTCTTCATTTGCATTTTTGAAGTGTTGTGCAACAATTTCAGCAAAAATTTCGTTACGGATTGTCGTCTAGAGTTTGATAGAATGCATTTCAACAGTGGTCTTGCGTTGCCATATTATCTTTACTAGAACCTTTCTCGTAACAAAAACGTATCTCAAAAGTGTCTTGGTAAAGTCATATCAGCGTCTTTTTGTATATTGAGTTTATTATAGTGTACTTTTATGTCTAGATGCTGTACTTCTGTTATTCATTACTGACATGTCTATGAATACTTGTGTATTTTTTCTATGATCAATAAATATTATTATTATATATGTGCAAAATACTTTCTAGTAAATTGAACAAAAAGTTAATAGGAAAGTGGTATTTAGTTTCAAATACTATTAATGGAATGTGATGGATATCTCTTTTTACATAAATTCCACACAGCAAAAATTGTACGAGTTATATTGGTTGTCTGGAAAAAAATTCCAGACCAATGCCATACAAAAAAGGAAACAAAAACAAAGATAAATAACCAAAATGGTAGATAAATCCAGTAAGTATAAAAGAATCCTACAAATTCAGAAGTAGGTAGTCTAATCAAATTAGAAAAATTTCCCTGAAATAATTGTGAAGTTTGGTGTTATTGATGCAAGTTTTTCAAGGGGTTATGTGAAACATGCACACTTGAAATGAGTACACCAACTTTTGTGGGAAAACTTCATTCGCCACAAAGAATGAGAAAACATGTTTTTTAAGATTCAATCCAATGCGTGGGCAGGAATGAAAAAACTCTTCTAATAAGATTTTTAGTTATTTATGAGAGCTGCACATACATAAAAAGATCCGACTAACAGCCAAAAAGTTACAGCGAAAAACCGAGGCAAAATGCATGTTTTGCTAGTTGTTGGTAATGCGACGTTAGTTTCACGCAGATACTTGAAATTCCTCAAATTCGTAGATTCCATACTTCTAAATAGCCAACGAAATTGGAGTCGATTGCTCAAGTCGTTTTTAAGAATTTCTAATTGTTTATTCCAAAACACCTGTCTTCCGGCCATCACTACTACTTTACTGAGCAATATACAGGGTACCGTCAGAAGGGCATTTTATAGCGAAATCAACCAGTTTACCTTGCCGACATGAATCACAAACCATTCCGGAAGATAACTGTTATTTTTATGCGAAAAACAAAGTGTTACGTTTATTGCTTCTAAATAAATTCAAACATTTCGTATTTGTGAGTTCTTGAACAGATGCGCTACAAAAAGGCCCAACGAAAATGTCGCACCCCCATTTGAGATTCTCTCGGTATATTTTAGTAAACGTCAATTTCGTCTGTAGCCCTACAATACAGGGTGATCCAGAAATAAGATATTGCGGTTGAATGAAAACCCCCATTTTTTTTAAATTTTAGAGTTTCCGTGAAGTTTTTTAGTAACAATCAATCATTATGAAGCCATTGGAGCTTATAAATGAAATTCGACCAACTTGACTTTAATACTACATATTAATAATAATCATGGATACCAGCAAGAACATTGTATCAGTCAGTGTCATTGCATGTCATAGAAAAACTTGTAGTCATGGTAAGAGAACTAGGGTTAGTTGCAATCACAACCCAAAAATGGGGTAGCTGTATAACTTATAACATTATAGCCTTGTAACAGAGAAAAAAATACTGTTGGTGTAGCCAAGCTAGAATTGTACCGAAACCCATTCATAAGATCACATTTACATTATTTATATTTCAATTTTAACTTTTTTCTTTTCAGTTTAAGTCGCAACAAGTTACTAGAAGATGCTTACAAAATGTTGCAAGAACGCCTAAAAAAAGGCTATTTAAACTATGCTCAAATTATTCTCGATGTGACGGATGATAATAGAGAAATAGGCAAGTATTTGAAGATCTTTGAACACACATGTGATGACACGTTTATGGACCTTATCAAGGACATCGGTGATTTGCGGGCGAAATGCTTCACCCAATTCGAAAAATCTCTGAAGAAACTTGAAGAGATCTGCAAATCATTGCAGATGCAAATACCATCGGTTGTAATGAACCAACTATGCATGAGGCAGAAGTATCTGCAGCTTGAAAAACAGCTAGAGGAGTAAGTTTGAAAATTTCTCAATTAGGGATGCACCCACTACTCTGCCCATTCTACCGAGTGTGTGGTTTCAAGTATTAAATTACTCGGCCGGGTAATTACTCGGTCTCCTAAGTCAGACAGTTGCAGATGTGATGTGAAACCAGGTTGTCGTATTGTTTATTTGCATTTTGATTTCGTCTTTCAACTCATAAACCACAAAAAAGTAAACAAAACGCACCAAAAAGTTGGAATGTAACGTGATTGAGTTTCCTGCGTTTCCGCGAAGAAAACCTTTACTCATACATAAGGATAATTTAGGTCTAGTTCTACCCAAATTTGAATTCCTTTTTAATGCCTTACAAATGCTTCTTTTGAAAACACATCAAATAGAACGTTCCAAAAATGCGCAAATATTTTTTTGTGTATGTTAATTTCTTGGATAATCTAAACATCACTAACAGTAGCTGAAATAACCCATTGCAAGTCACTCCACCAAGTACTCTGTGCCCAGTATTCAAATCTGGCGAGTACTCGGTACTTGGCTGTTTGAAAAAAGTAGTACTTTCGCAACCGCCAAGCACGGTCACTACAACTATACAGGGTGACTTCGAAGTTGAGTCATTTATTTTAACAGTGAGTAGATCTGATCAAAAGAAATGTTTTTTTCCTTTACCATTTTCCTGGTAAAATTAAAGTAACAAAGTTATAGCCCTTTGGAAGTTTGAGTACCGCCCTGTCTCAATAATAATATTATGTGGTCGTGTTTGGCGACAACGGATATAATCCGCCGTATCGGTTCATCGCATCGGAAACAAAAAAGCGAAAGAATTTGGAACGATGCTTTTTACAATTATTTCATTCATTTGTATACAGTCAGTGTCAGTGAATAGTGGTATCTGTTGCGTGGCTCAAACGAAATAAAAAATGGCACATGTTTATGCGGATCGGTTTCCCAATCGAGTGCAACCAACCCCTCGTGCCTTTGTTAATGTAGTACAACGGGCTCGTGAATCAGGTGACTTAAGACCTCACAGGGGACCTCACGATCAAATACAGGTCCGCATTGAAATACTTGTCGGGAGGATACTTTATAAAACAAGGTAATCATTTTTTTTTAATTTTTTTTTATTTTTACACACATATTTTGGTTTATCTTCCTACTACAATCATTATCTGAAAATTAATGACTCAACTTCAAAGTCTATATATAGCAGGAATTTTAACAAAATGATCATACTTTTTGAAAAGAAGGTGTACTTGGTCTGATTTTCCAAAAAAGTTGTGGATGCAGACTGATATTTAAAAAATGGTACATGCATACTTATTTAAAAAATTAGGTCAAGTAGATTGACTCAGTACTTCCGAGACACTCTATCGCTTATTGACGTGGAAGGTGAAATTTTTTTTCTATTCAGTTATGAGCAAATCTACAAATCAAGACTTGAAGAAATCAATACCTTGAGAGAAATGCAATTGGAACTGTGCAAAAGTCTTGGGATGGAACCCAAAATAGTAAAAGAATCTCCTTTGCCTTCTGCCGAAGAAATCGTGGAGCTCAAGGTGTATTTAGAAGCTCTGGAAAATGAAAGGTACGCAATTATTTTAGAGTAAGATTCCATTTTTTTTTCCGGACAGTTTTTTTAGATTTTTTTGGGTCATTCTGACCAAAAATGGTTCTTATGAGACCTTATCTAAAGTTTTTAGGGCTCGCGATTTAATATACAGCGTGGCGCATCGAAAACGAAACAGACGCATTTACTGGCAGCTCAGTTTTTTTGAAAAACTTTCAGACCCGTCGATTTTGTTTTCGAGGGGGACACAAGTTTGGCAAAAAATCACGTTAGCACGTGCAGCCCTCTAAGCCGGGGTGACACCACCTCCAAAATCTTAAATGGAAAGGGGGGTCGAGTGACACCTTAATTTAAAGGTCTTTCAATTCCCTTTATATTGATATAAAATTAATGTACTTCAGTTCAGTAGTTTTGAAGATTTATTGATTTAAAGCTTAAATTAGACTTTAATACATAGGTACATCAGATTAGTTTGTACTACTTTCAGACGAAATTTGAGTAAAATAATTTACTTAATAAGTAAATGCTTTTCTTCACTAAGCCCATGGTTTGTTCATCATTTTGTTGTTGAAAATAGCTATTGGAGCGTTTTTTTGTGGCAAAAAAGTTATTTCTTGAAGAAATATCTCGTACTTATTTTAAATAGGAATGTAGTACATAGTTTGCGATTGATTTGACCAAACTTTGTTGCTAAAATAACTTGTAACGCTTTATTACATAAATTATCCATGGTATATTCCACAGCAGAAAGAGTTGAAATTATTGAAATATTTTTCGGAAATAATCAGTGCGCTAATAGAACAGCAGAAATATTTAATGAGCGACATGAGAACAGTAACGTGCATCGAAAATATGTTCTAGAACTTGTAGCTAAATTTCGGGAAACTGGGTCAGTGATACAAGAACTTAATGAAGACGATTTTAGGGACCTCGGTTGGCCGCGTGGGTCAGAGTGTCGTGCTACTGACCAGCCGGCCGGCCGGGTCGCGAGTTCGAATCTCGCCTTCGCCATGGATGTTGTGACGTCGTGTGTTTGTTCATAATTAGATGTATTCTATATACCAACCTAGTTTCTGGCTGCATGGCTTAGTCCTAAAGCCAAAAAAAAAAAAAAAAAAAAAAAAAAAAAAAAAAAAAAAAAAAAAAAGACGATTTTGATCGGTGATTACAATTTTGTGAAGATATGAGTGAACGAATTATAAACGATGAACATTTTCTATTCAACACTTGCTTTTCCGACGAATGTTCCTTTTTCTTAAATGGCGTAGTAAATCGTCATAACTGCCGATATTGATCCGATTCTAATTCCAGAATTTATCATGAGGTTCATACATAGCAGCCACAAAAAATAAATGTTTGGGCTGGTAGTTTTGGCGATCATTTAGTGGGTCCTTTTTTCTTACCTAGAAATTTGACCGGTGAAATGTATTTGGAATTACTGGAAGACGCCATAGATCCTGCATTAACAGCCAAAATTGAAAATCAGAATGATCGGCGGTACATTGCGAATAGGTTGATGTTCCAACAGGATGGTGCCCCACCACATTACGCATTACGTGTTCGACAATATTTAGATCAGACGTTTCCAGATCGATGGATTGGTAGAAGACGTGCCATTGAATGGCCTCCAAGATCGACAGATTTATCACCTTGGATTTCTTTATGTGGGGTCATTTAAAAAGCAAAATCTATGCTACTCAGCTAACATCATTAGAAGACCTGTGACAAAGAATTGTGAATGAGTGCCTTCAAACATACAAAGATGGTCAACGTCAAGTCGACATTGCTAAAAATTTGAAGCTGAAGCCTAAAGCAGCAATATTGAACAAATATAAGCAAAAAGGTATCTTGGAAGCCTCTAAGAGAAGTGATCGGCCTAGAAAACAATGTTAAATCAGTTAGATTAATAAAAGTAATTTCGTCCAAAGATCCGGTTAAAACCCCAAGACAAATAAAAGCCGAAATCAAGACAAAAAGAATTGTCAGTGTTTCTACGAAAACTATAAGTGGAAGATTAAATGATTTGAAGTTATTTGCACGTCGCCCGAGTAAAAAGCCGCTAATCTCGAGGAAAAACCGGAAGGACCGATTACAATTTGTACGGTTGCATCTTGTTTGGAGCATCTGTGACTGGAAGAGGGTATGTTTCAGTGGCGAATCCAAGTTCAGTATGTTTGTATCTGATGGTGTTCATTAAGTTAGATGTCCTAGTGGACAAAGATTGAACGCCTAGTACACTTTGCCCACTTTCAAACATGGAGGCGGGTCTGTTATGGTTTGGGGGTGCTTTTCGGGGTTTGGGGTAGGACCTTTACATAGAATAGATGGCATTATGGATAAGTTTGTATACACAGACATACTAAAACATGTCATGTTACCCTATATGGGCTTAAGATCAATCTTCCAGCAAGATAATGACCCGAAGCACACTTCAAATCTCGCAAAGAAATTCTTTCTGGATGAAAAATACCAGTTCTCAAATGGCCCTCACAGTCTTCCGATATAAACCCCATTGAAAATCTATGGGCATACTTAGATAAGCAAACACGAGATAAAAATTATACAAGGACGAACTTTTTGCCGCTTTAGAGCAAAAGTGGAGACAGATTGATGAATCTTATATCAAGAAACTTCAGTCTATGCCTAGACGATGCCAGGCGGTGATTGATAATGGTTATGCTACAAAATATCAACACAAACATGGTTGGTTTTCTATAATTCAATGAACTCTGCTTCTTTTTTCTATAACCGTTTTGCTTTGTCTATATATTTTTGTCCTTCATAGTTCCAGCTTTTTTTTCAATTAATTTTTTATTGAAGGGAGTCTAATGAATTTATTTGTGTATAAGTGAGTATTATGCTATAACGAATTGTGTATTCAGGTTGGTGTATTAATAAAACAAGTTAAAAAATAAATACAGCACAATATTAATTTGTCTATATACTTTTGTCCATTACTGTATATCGCCAAAATAGGCCGTTATTGCTGATATGCCGATATTTATATCTTGCTTAGAATTTCGTTTTGTTTATTCTGTCGAAAATGGCATGTTTCCCACTTTTTCAAGTATTAAATTTTTGTGTGAGTCTCTAGGTCTCAAGAACGTTCTCAAGGGCTCCTCAGTAAATTAATATGAAGCATAAAAGACGTTGCTTTTTATTCCAGATTTACAAGAAGAGAAAAATTTGTCCAATCCAAAGAAACCATATTGAAGATTGTTGGAGAGCTAAACTACAAACCATCTTTGAAATTTGAACAACAAATCATCTCAGGTGGCGACTTTGATTTTTGCGTTACTGATAAAAACATGAAAAAACTTGAACAACTTCATGAGCAACTGGCAGTGCAACTGAAAAGAGTGAAGGAAGAAATTGCAGAAAGTTGGACAAAGTTGAAACAGTTGTGGGATATGCTGGATATTGAGCTACTGGAACAGCAGAAGTTTAGGGAAGCCCATCAGGGGAACTCTGTGGATGTACTTGAAGCTTTACGTGTCGAGATTGGGAGGTGTAATGAGTTGAAGAAGACCAATATCGAGGTAAGGCACATATTATTAATACACTACACATAATTTATACAGGGTGGCGCATCGAAAACGAAACAGACGCATTTACGGGCAGCTCAGTTTTTTTTTTGGAAAAACGCTCAGACCCGTCGATTTTGTTTTCAAGGAGGACACAAGTTTGGCAAAAATCACGTTAACACGTGCAGCCCCCTGGGCGGGGGTGACACCCACCCTAAAATCTTAAATGGAAAGGGGGGTCGAGTGATACCTTATTTTAAAGGTCTTTCAATTCCCTTTATAATGACGTAAAATACATGAGCTTCAGTTCAGTCGTTTTGAAGATTTATTGATTTAAAGCTTAAAGTATACTTTAATAGGTACATCAGATTAGTTTGTACTGCTTTCAGAAGAAATTTGACTAAAAGAATTTACTTAATAAGTAAATGCTTTTCTTCACTACGCCCATGGTTTGTTTATCATTTTGTTGTTGAAAATAGCTATTGGAGCATTTTTTTGTGGCAAAAAAGTTATTTCTTGAAGAAAGATCAGGAAATATCTCGTACTTATTTTAAATAGGAATTTAGTACATAGTTTGCGATTGATTTGACCAAACTTTGTTGCTAAAATAACTTGTAACGCTTTATTACATAAATTAACCATGGTATATTCCACAGCAGAAAGAGTTGAAATTATCGAAATATTTTTCGGAAATAGAACGGCAGAAATATTTAATGAGCGACATGAGAACAGTAACGTGCATCGAAAATATGTTCTAGAACTTGTAACTAAATTTCGAGAAACTGGATCAGTCGCCAATAAAAAACGCAACATTGAAAATCGCATAAGGAACGAAGCAATAGAAGTGGGGGTTTTAGGGCAAGATTATGTAGATTCCCGCAAATTGGGGACTGCCCCCAAGATCGCCAGATTTATAACATTTGGATTTCTTTATGGGTCATTTAAAAAGGAAAATCTATGCTACTCAGCCAACATCATTAGAAGACCTGCGACAAAGAATTGTGAATGAGTGCCTTCAAATTACTCCTCAAATATTGCAAAATGTGCGGCAACGTTTTGGGCGTAGTGAAGAAAAGCATTTACTTATTAAGTAAATTCTTTTAGTCAAATTTCTTCTGAAAGTAGTACAAACTAATCTGATGTACCTATTAAAGTCTACTTTAAGCTTTAAATCAATAAATCTTCAAAACTACTGAACTGAAGTACATTAATTTTATATCATTATGAAGGGAATTGAAAGACCTTTAAAATAAGGTATCACTGGACCCCCCTTTCCATTTAAGATTTTGGGGGTGGTGTCACCCCCGCTTAGGGGGCTGAACGTGCGTCTGTTTCGTTTTCGATGCACCACCCTGTTTATTTATTATATATAATGATGTCATACCCATAAATATAAGAAAAATTGAAAGATCACTATTAAGAAAAGATCTTGAGTGGTTATTGAACCTTGATATGAAACTTCTGATTTGTAAATATTAACTCGTTTATTACCTTTTTCACATTATCAATCCACAATGCAATATTACTGTATTATATTTATATTGTATCGATTCCTTAGTCTCATAGACCATGTATTGTTATTATTATATGTAATATGGAACAAGGATATTTTCCTTTCATGGCTTATTGATTTATTCATAAATGGTAATTAGTGTGAATACATATTATACTAAGTGACATATAAATCCGAACACCCAGTTTAAATGGTTTTATTTTAATAAAATTTTGTATAAGTACTTAATGAAGCATAATAAGTAAATGATAAAAATTTCAAAATGATTGCACTGCTTTAAAGCCCTTTGACCTTTAATAATGTGTGCATGCACCCTGATGTGCTACGCATTCTCCAACGCGCCTAGGCATGCTTCTGATCAGGTGGTCAATGTCCTCCTGTGGTATCTCATTCCAGGCAACCACCAACTCCTCTCGAAGTGCTTCTAGAGTCTGAGGAGGACGTTGCAAATTGAGCAATCTCCTACCCATCATGTCCCACACGTGCTCAATTGGGGATAAGTCGGGAGATCTTGGTGGCCATGGTAACAATGTGACATCATTATGTTGAAAGAAGTCTATTGTGACTCTTGCAACATGTGGTCGGGCATTATTTTGTTGGAAAGTTGGATCTGCCAGGGTGTCAAGATAGGGTAAAAGATGGGGTTCTAGAACTTCGTCGATATAACGCTGCGCGTTCATGTTACCATAAGCTATAGCACCCCAAACCATAACTCCAACAGTGTGATGAACATGTCTTTCAACAAAAAACTGTGGATTCCTCGTTTCACCACGTCGCCTTCTAACCCTGGCACGACCATCGTGCGTGCCTAAACAAAATCGCGACTCGTCACTAAAGACAATACTGTTCCATTCCTGATCCCAGAGTGACCGTTGTCTGCACCACTCAAGGCGATTACGTCGGTGTTCTCGAGTTAAAGGGAGGACCCAGTGTGGCCTGTATGAAAACAAGCCAAAACTTCTCATTCGTCGGTAAACACTTCGCATGCCAATATGTCTTCCGTGTTCTGCAAACCATTCATTTGCAATGAACGTGGTAGTGGAGAAACGGTCCCTTAAGGCCAATAATCTTAGGCGGCGATCTACACGGTCTGTTGTTCTACGGCGGCGTCCAGTGCCCCTTGCTCTTTGCGTACGGCCTTCTCGAAGCCATGCCTGACAACACCTAACCACAGTGTCTACACTTCTTTGCACTCTAACTGCAATTGTCCGAAAAGAAAGTCCAGCTTCCCGAAGTCCCACTATACGGCCCCTATAAAATTCACTAAGTTGACGAAATCGTACAGGTCTCCGTACTGTAGGCATCGTAACCGATCGTAAAGGATATCAAGAACCAAAATCTGCCAACGTTGATTCTTTACTGCGGCTGAAATATTCATTTTTGGAGCGTTAGTGAATTAAAAAAAAGCAGTATAAAAACCGGAATGTCCAACTGATAAGGCTGAAAATTTTTTCACTTGTTATTTACAGTAAGATAAATACATTCACCAACTTTTATTAAAATAAAACCATTTAAACTGGGTGTTCGGATTTATATGTCACTTAGTATATTTTATCAACTTGGATCTTTATGCTGTTTTAATGAGGAATTATATTTTGCAGAAATTCATCACACTCTTGCGACAGCAGATTCGGGAAATGTGGCAAAAATGTCATGTTACTGAAGAGGAAGGGACGGCACAATTTCGTGTCTTCGACACGGATCATTACTCAGAAACAGTCTTGGATCTATTTGAGCGAGAATTGAATAAGTGGAAGGCCTACTTTGAAGAGAACAAGTATGTGGCATTATCATTTTCGTCTTTTGTTGGTACAAGCAAATGATGCTTAGTGCACTTAAGAGTAGATTATTTGCGGCCTTGAATATTAATATGGTGGACACTCCGGAAAAAGCATCATAATAATAATATTTATCGGCCCAACTACAGAGACAGTAGGTGATTTCAAGAAAGCACTTGTAATGCATATGAGAGGTGGCAATGCTTAAATTTATTGTTATAATTTTGGACCTAAGTATATAAAAGATTTCATCTTTATTTCCTTTTTTGTTTTTTTAATAATTATTTGTTTATTCTTATTTCCAGTGTCAATTCATAATTTTTATAATTAATAATAACTATAAATCGAGTGTTCTTGATATTATTTGATTATCCTCTACTTATCTTCAGGGAAATAATCCAGTTGCTCAACAGACACGGAAAACTGTGGACAAAATGGACCGGGCTTCATGATCACGCAGATGCTGGCAGATTAAAAAATCGCGGTGGTCAGTTATTGAAGGAGGAAAAAGAACGAAAGCAGTTGGAAAAGACGATTCCGAAAGTTGAGGATCAACTACAAAGACTGTGTGTCAAGTATGAAGAAATACATCAAAAACCGTTCAAGACCTTTGGACAAACTGTGGCGGACTATCTGAAAAACGCACACCAGGACTTTGAGGATGCAAGTTACAATATAATAAAAAATAATGATTTATTTCACTGAAAATTCTATAAAAAATGAAAAGGTCATCAAAAACAGTGGTGATGAATTAAAAAAGTATAAACCATAAATCTAAACAAAATCTAGCAAAAAATGTTTTAGTATTATTTTAGCTTTCACTCCTAATGTCATCATTGAGCTTAATAAAAATCTTACATCCCATATATCTAGATCTAGTTGGATATTCATCATCGTGTTTGATAACTCCAAATTCTCGCTTATTTTTGAAAAAAAACAGCCAACTCGTAAAACCAGATCTCAAACTAGTAGTATCTAAAACAACACAATGGTCTGAAAACTTACATGTGTCTCCATGATGCTACCAAAGGGATTAGCAATTTGAAAATATTCGGTATAGTCAATGTGGTCTATTCAACATCTGCTAGAATCGTCAGCTTCTAGCGGTCACAGTGGTGTCTGGCTATCAAACGTGAGATCTTTACAGTTCCGACTGATACTCTATCGCATTAGTCAGTGCCGGTAGTAGACAGCGCTTTGCGCGATGTCTTTTCGATTGGAGATCTGTAGTCTAATCATATTAGACGAAAATACCCCTGGTTTATGAAATAATTGTAAAGTCTGGTTTTATTGTTGCAAGTTGTTCAAGGGGGCATGTAAAACATGGACGCATAAAACCGAAGCAAACTACAGGTTTTGGCACTTGTTGGTAATGCGACGACAGTTTCTCGCAGATGCTTGAAATTATTCAAATTCGTAGGATTCGTACTTCTAAATAACCACAACAAAATTGGAGTAGATTGGTCAAGTAGTTTTTGAGTATTTATAATTGTTCATCCCAAAACAACTGTTTTCTGGCCATCACTACTAGTTTATTGAACAATATGCAGGGTTAGTTCAAAGGGCATTTTATAGCAAAATACACTAGCTTACCTTGCCGATATGAATCGCAAACCCAACCGGAAGATAAATGTTATTTTTATGTAAACAAGGATGGGTTACGTTTTTTCTTCTAAACAAATTCATGCATTTCGTATTTGTGAGTAATTCGCAACAAAAGATGATAGATAAATCCGCTTTGTTTTAAAATGTGTATCACATTTACTCACAAATACGAAATGTTTCGAATAAAAATAACATTTATCTTTCGGAATCGTTCGTCATTCATATGGACAGGTACACGTGTATTTTGCTATTAAATGCTCTATGAACGAACACTGTAAATTGCTCAATAAACTAGTAGTGACGGCTGGAAAGCAGGTGATAAGTTATAAACAATTACAGATTCTCAAGAAACTACTTGACCAATATACTCAATTTTAGAAGTATGAATCCTACGGATTCGAAGAATTTCAAGTACTTGCGTGAAATTATCGTCGCATTACCAAGTGCCAAAACCTGCATTTTGACTTGTTTTTCGGCCATAACATTTTTTTACGCGTGGTCTCATTATGAATGTCTCTAAAATACCTAAAAATCTTATAAAACCATTCTTTGTTGTTAAAAAAAAGTTTTTCCACAAAAATTGGTGTACCCATTTTATGCGTCCATGATTTGAATACCCCCTTGAACAACTCGCACCAATAAAACCAGACTCTACAATTATTTCGGTTAAATTTGCTAATATAATTATACTACTGGTTCGAAGTAATACTGTTTTTTTTTTCAGATGCGGAAAGCTAAGCTTAGCGCTCGCAAAACTCCTGGTTCTGCAGTAAGCGCTTTGGGCACCCTGTTGAAATCGAAGACCAATTTGACCCATACACCATCAAAACTAATGTCAGCTGCAAAAAGAAAACTACAGACTCCCACTGCGCTAAATCGGTCAACTAAAAAGACCAAGAAGTCTCCAACAGGTATAAAGAAACGCAAAGTTGGTAAGAACGGAAAACTACTGAAATGAAATGTTCAAAAAGTTCCATACCCACCCCATGTCAGAAAATACTAACCGGAAAAAAGATGATCAAGGCATATGTATGATTTTACTTGGGCAGTCTAATGGTGACCTTGACAATGACCTGGCACTGGTATTATGTAAAACACCTATAAAACGTCTAAAAAACCTATAAGATGTCATTTTGCAAACTAGGTATTTTTTAGGGCGCAAACAGTCATTCCACGTTTGCTCACTAGGATCGTTGTGAACGTCCATCTAAGGAGGAATCACTCAACTAAACTAAACGCATTATTGGTTTCATCGCATCTGGATGATTATGTGTATTGGTCTTCATGTGTATAAAACCAGTGATATTTGCTGTTTGAGAAAATCATTACTGAATATGCTGCCAATGAAGTATATCTATTGGCTGTGCCCGACGGGTTATTTTTATGTTGTACTTTCTGAAGAGAGATTATGTTCAAAGTTATAAATTACGAAAAACTGAGGAGAATTACTGGTAATCATTGTGTGGAATTACTGTTAGCATGTATATGGCTTGTAATTCGACAGCGTACAATGAATATAATTATTTCTTATCTCTCTCATTTTTGAAATTCAGCAAATTTGTATATGTAGTTTCCCGAATGGATAAGAAAAAGTGGATGCGCAACGAATTTCTAGCTTTGAATCTGAATTAAGTGTATTTGAGACAAGAACCAATGTAATTATCATGAACACATACAACTTACAGCTTAGACCTCCAGTAATGCCATCTCAGAAGCAGATTTTACATCACATCAGAGCCAATGATTGATAACAAGCCTCATGACGTTTAGGCAACACGTACAACTAAGTGCTTAGTTAACATCTTGTACAAACCTAAATGTCAAAAAAAAAACAGCATAATGTCAAAAAAAATCGGCATAATGTCACTTTTCAAGATACGTGATACCCGTACTGGACTTTGAACTTTAAAGTCATTTCAATGTCAATTTGATTATTATGAAATACTATACTTTTGATCCTCCATAATCGAAAGAGGGGAAAATTCTAAGTTTGAGTACGTCATTGACCAAGCAGATGGATCGGCCTACCGGATAGTATTGTGTGGCCACCACTGGACTATTTTCTGTGGGATTATTTGAAAAGCAAAGTGTAAACAACTAAACCTCAAGATCTATACTATAACTATCTAAAACTGTAATGACTCATCGATATTCACGTGAACATCACTTAACTACCAGTAGTCGGCTGTTCATAGGCGGGGTATGAATGTTTAACATGGGTGAACTAGATTTGTCACATGCTTAATAAAGAGTGGTTTGAAACATATTGTAAGTCAAAAATTTGGGAATTACCTTTATTCATCGTCACTTCCACTTACATCTGACAGTAATAAACTGTCGCTATCGCTTTCCTCGTTGAAATTGACTATAACTGGCTCTATGATGGTTTCGATGTGGTGGTCAAGCTGCCACATTTTTGTTTCTTCCTTCACAACATGACGGATAGCATTCTGCCAAGCTTCGGGCGTTACTAGCTGTATGGAAGTCTCAAGTAAAACCTTAACGTCTGGTAATTTGAAGGTTGTGTTATGGCGCGCAATATAACCCTTCACTTGAGCCCAGATGAGCTCTATTGGGTTCAATTCACAGTGGTAGGGCGGTAACCGCAGCACAGTGACACCACATTGACGGGCCATCTCATCAGTCACGTAACTAATGTTCGCAGGTTTGTGCTGTTTAATTGTTTCATACAATTCCGCTTTCACACATGAATCGTCAAACGGGATTCCTTTTTCGCGCAACCATTGCTGCATGTCACTTTTTCGAGATCCCATAGTCGGTACACGTTCGGCTCGACGACTATGACGATCACAGAGTTGGGCTCAACTCGCTGAAGCACCCCTTGAAACCAGCTCTCGAAGCAGCTGGCATTCATTTCGTCATGGTAATCACCTCCTTTCTTAGAGACGAAAATCAAGTCACACTCTTCTAAAAAGCCACTACCGCTACCAATATGAGTTACGATCAATCTTTGACCTTTTCCAGACGGTCCACGAAGACCTGTTGACAAACCTTCAATGCTTGCTTGTCGGTTACTCACTCCACCTTGTCTTTACTGACCAAGTCTTTGATCGACTTGGCCATATATATGATCAAGGACATATATAAAGTAGGTCAAATCAATTTGAACTTGAAATGACCTTCAAGGTCAACGTTAAGGTCCTTACATCTGACAGTAATAAACTGTCGCTATCGCTTTCCTCGTTGAAATTGACTATAACTGGCTCTGTGATGGTGTCGATGTGGTGGTCAAGCTGCCACATTTTTGTTTCTTCCTTCACATCATGACGGATAGCATTCTGCCAAGCTTCGGGCGTTACTAGCTGTATGGAAGTCTCAAGTAAAACCTTAACGTCTGGTAATTTGAAGGTTGTGTTATGGCGCGCAATATAACCCTTCACTTGAGCCCAGATGAGCTCTATTGGGTTCAATTCACAGTGGTAGGGCGGTAACCGCAGCACAGTGACACCACATTGACGGGCCATCTCATCAGTCACGTAACTAATGTTCGCAGGTTTGTGCTGTTTAATTGTTTCATACAATTCCGCTTTCACACATGAATCGTCAAACGGGATTCCTTTTTCGCGCAACCATTGCTGCATGTCACTTTTTCGAGATCCCATAGTCGGTACACGTTCGGCTCGACGACTATGACGATCACAGAGTTGGGCTCAACTCGCTGAAGCACCCCTTGAAACCAGCTCTCGAAGCAGCTGGCATTCATTTCGTCATGGTAATCACCTCCTTTCTTAGAGACGAAAATCAAGTCACACTCTTCTAAAAAGCCACTATCGCTACCAATATGAGTTACGATCAATCTTTGACCTTTTCCAGACGGTCCACGAAGACCTGTTGACAAACCTTCAATGCTTGCTTGTCGGTTACTCACTCCACCTTGTCTTTACTGACCAAGTCTTTGATCGACCTGGCCATATATATGATCAAGGACATATATAAAGTAGGTCAAATCGATTTGAACTTGAAATGACCTTCAAGGTCAACGTTAAGGTCCTTGTATTTTCTGAGATAGAGGGGGTCAGGAACTTTTTGAACACCTTGCATATGTAATTTTGGCGATAATCGAAACCTACAAGGTCTGTTGCAAAGTAAACAGGACAAAAAAAATGAACAAACATTTTTTGTTTTGGAAAATCGAATTTATTTTATGTCCTTCACAGTTAATACAGCGATTTGCACGGACCAAAAGATTTTCGAATGATGTTTTTAGCTCATTGACAGGAATGTCCTTCGTCGGCATACCGCTGTCGCTTAATGGCCAAATGTATAGTAGAAATCACATATCTTTTTATTCATGTCACAAAAAGCCAAGATTGGTGGTCGACTTACGTAAAATGGCGAGTCATATAAATTTAATGTGCTAGAAAATGAAGAAGATATATTAGCATGTCTCACCGACTACAAATATGTCTACATGGTTGCCGCTTATGCACAGGCTCATTTTGTCGAATTCGCAAGTTTACCGCATGTCGTAAATAATATCATATCGTCATTTTGACGTTCAACTATGAGGTTAAAAATACCACAATACAGGAAACATGAATCAAATCTAAGCGAATAACCAAAATTTCTGTGTTATGTGCCGCGGTTATAATATGGTTCAAGATGACACACGGGTTGATGACGTCAGTTACACGAATCGCTTAAACGCGTTGGTTTTAACCGCGGTTTTGTTGCAAGTTGTTTATTTTAGAAAAGCGCGTATATAATCTCTGATTATTTTATTATCACTTAATAATCGGTGCTTTTTCGTCTACAACTGTATATGGAAAGTTTAAATAAGAAACCTTTCATAATATTCATGGGAGAAATGTTTTTTTCAGATTTTTTTTAATGATGAAACCATGGCTTTGTAGCTATGATAACTTTCAATTCTCTAAATTTTTCCTCATGTCAAAGAAAACATTATTAATTCAGCAGAAATGATGAAAAAAGAAATTAGCAAAACCGTATACAGGTGGATATCATCTAGTGAGTTTATATGGCCATATTTTAATATTCTTGTGGTATATGGCTTTACAGGATACTTTGTTAAGCATAGGAACTACATTTAAAGTGTCCCCAACAACCGTAATGAGTATAACTAATAAGGTGCTCCACTTTATGGTAAAACTGAAGTCAGCCTTTCTGAAAAATGAAGCTGAAGTACAATAACAATATCCAATACCCGGCAAAATTCTAACTTGTCACATTTCAAACAATAACCAGAAATATAAAACTACTCTTGAGTTGGGTAAATACCACAATTTTGCGGTGATAACTATGACATATAACAGCTGATTCGTGACGTCACGGATCTTATAACGAAACTGATAACTACACTCGCTTGAACGGATTGGTAAATACCAACCCAAAATGGTAAATACCATTTCCATTTGGTTATCCGCTTGAATTTGATTATGATATTAGGATACCACAGGATGTTTCCCATTTGACATGACAGTTCATATTGTCAAAGCCTATCTTCTGTAATGTGTTCCGCAGTATTTCAATATCGACTTATCTCCGACTTACCTCAATACGTATTTTTTCCGTCACTCTCAACTTACATGCTATGCAGAGAGAATGAGAAAGATGACGAATGCTGAGAATTCCTACAACATACCAATTTTGAAGATGTATGGCATCCCTGGTGATTTGAAGCTATGACGTGCATTAAAAGTTATGTGACTCGAACTGTAGTTTATCGAACAGAAAATAGTCACACGGTGCCATATCAGCAGGAATATGGAGAGTGGTTGATGGTTAAAGTGCCATTTTTGTCAAAAAATGGGACACAAGCGTCGATCGATGAGATGGTGTATTATCGTGCAACAAGCGCCAGCTTTCTTCGCGATATTCTGGCCGACGAATACGCGACAGCAAACGCCTCAAAACACCAAGATAAAACACAATTCTTTGTGAATATTCCCACCACGTCTCGTCACCAGTCACAATGTTGTACAGAAATTTTTTGTGTTTTTTGGCCTCTTTAATGATATTTATCGAATGCTGAATTCGAAGCAATTTTTAGTCATCCGTGAGCTTGTGCAGAACAAAACCGTGAACACACCTTCTTATGCCCAAATTCTTGGTCAAAATGCGATGGATTGAATAAATGAGTACATATTTTGGCAAGTTTGACACAGATCTTAATATTGGCTCTTTGTTCGATACTCATTATTCGACCCATGCTGAAAATATACTGTCACTTTGAGCGCAATAACCTCTTATGAAGTGGTTCAATTGTCATGAAATTTTGATAGGGCATCAATGAAAAGTGTACCTAACCAACGCTAGTCTCCGATAATAGATGGCGCTGCTTGCATCGGATATCAAAATTCCTGTGTACTTTGCGACAGACCTTGAATATGCGCGGAGCCGCGGCCAAAAAGCTAGTATTTAATATTTTTCATGATTACCATGCACATTGGTAGTGAAAAGCAAAAATCTGTGACCTATATGAAATTTTTCTGCTCCAGCTGTTCCAAAAATAACAGTAACAGTACACATTGGCAAAAGGAACTCCAAGGAACTCAAAAAAATTGAGAAGAAACGGAGTAGTTACGCCCTACAAACGGACCTCCAGAAAGTAACTGATGATGACGACGATGAGTACGTCGATTTTGAAGTAAGTTACATCAAAATCAATTTGTATAGCCTTTGATCCACCCTTTTTTTCGAGATATTTTTTGGATGTTATATGAAAAGTACATCACGAAAAACTAAGACACTCATTTCCGTCATCTATCCGCTAATCCTTGGCCTATCTACAGGGTGTTTCAGTTTATTGTTGCATAACTTTAAGATTCGATAGAACTTTTAAAATTAATGCATAGCCGTTTTTGAGATATTTCGATCATTAAGGTTCGATGCATTTTTAATTATTTATTATAAAATAACGTTAAAAAGTCAGTATCTCGATAATTTTTAGAAGTAGGCTGTGCCTGCAAATATTTTTGAAATTGAAAGCAGAATAAGGTTAAACGTCAATTAGTTGACAGTTAGTTTTGTTGTCTGTTGAAACCTGAAACGTTTTTTTGCAATTGTGAATGCACGAAATTTAGTCTCTTTTACCTGTTTTTTTTTGTAAGTTTTATAAAAATGCCATTTTTATTCTCCAATCAAGAGTTAGCGGATATTCATTTTGTGTATGGCCTTGAAAATGGAAACGCAGCAGAAGCCGCCAGAGAATACGCACGAAGATTTCCAAACAGACGACATCCAACTCGCTCAGTATTTGTAAGAGTGCATCACCACATAATTGACAATGTTCTTAGAAATGACCATAGACGTCCTTACCATTTGCAACCTGTGCAAGGACTATAGCCAGGGACGGAGAACGAAGAATCACATTTTGTCAGTGGATTCTTGATAGAACTGATAATAATAGGGAGTTTTTAAGTAACGTTTTATGGACCGATGAGTCATGCTTCACTAGACGTGGAGTGGTACATTTTCATAATCAACATATTTGGTCGCATGAAAATCCGCATGCAGTTCGGGAAAGAAATTTCCAGCATGAATTTAGTCTGAACGTGTGGATTGGTATCTACCGTAATCGACTATTTGGACCCTACCTTTTGCCAGCAAGGTTAAATTCTGCGACCTTCTTGGAATTTTTAAAGGCTGAACATGCAAATATGTGGTATGATGTTATGTTAGATTTAAGAAGATTGGCCTGGTTCCAGCTTGATGGTTGTCCAGCTCATTATTCGAGAATAGTTAGAAACTGGCTGGACGAAAATTATCCAAAAAGATGGATCGGCCGTGGAGGACCAGTCGCCTGGCCTCCACGATCCTCTGACCTAAATCCATTAGATTTCTTTGTGTGGGGATTTCTAAAAGAAAATTTGTACCAGACTCCCGTAACCACAAGAGATATGCTAATAGACAGAATCAGGAATGCATGTGATGAAATAAGGCCTTATTTGAATAATGCTATACCACGTTCAATTATTCGTAGATGTGAATTGTGTATTGAACAATTGGGTTTACATTTCGAGCAACTAATTTAGATTTTGTATGTTTGTCCTAACTATCCAATAGCATGTTAGTTGTAAATAGTTAATTTAATTTCTTAAAAATAATATTGGAAAATTAAACAAATTAATATTGTTTTTGTGTTTATTTGGAGTTAGGAATTATTGCTGTGTTTAAAAACACAATCTAAGCGATCATCTTAATTACTTGTAATGTAAAAAAAAAATATTTTCTATAAATAATTAAAAATGCATCGAACCTTAAAAATCGAAATATCTCAAAAACGGCTAACTATAACGAAAACTCACAAGAGAGCTTTTTTATGCAGAAAAGTGCGAAGAATCAGTTTTTTTATTCAAAAATCAAAAAATTGCACTAAGAAAAAATTTACGGTTATTTTAATACACTACAGGTACACTAGAGAGCGCCCTATAGCGGCTACAGTAAAACTATGCCCATGGTTCGTTTTGTCGTACCAAAAAACCCTTGTATACCAATTTTCACTGTTATACATCAAATGTTGTTCGAAATATTTAAAAAAAACTATTTTAGAAAGTAAATTTAAACACCCTGTATTTCGGAAGCCACGCATTTTTCGACCCATGTTTATATAGACTTTATGCATTAATTTTAAAAGTTCTATCGAATCTTAAGGTTATGGAACAATAAACTGAAACACCCTGTATAACTTGGGAAGTACCGGTCACAACTATACCAAGCACGAAAAGGCTTTGTAGTTTTTGAAAATGGGTACAGTGACAGCGGAGAAAAAGGCCAAACACGATAAAAATTAAAATCGCTCATACTTCGTTTTTTGACATTTTAGAGGATACCGATCATTTCCTGAAACATTTTTACAGGGGTTAACAACAGGATGTTAGAGTCTGTATGGTGTGGGGAGAGTATACATATGTACCAATTTAGATGCTAGCATTTTATACGTTTCCAACCCCGATAATTCTACGCAACTATAGACATGTTTCATACATCATAAATTTCCCCGTATATTTGCCCTTGCAACTTGAATTTGTATTTATTATTTTCGATATACGCGTGCCAGACAGTCTTTCTGCTTCAAATGCTGAGGGATAACTGAGTGGTGTGCGACAGCTCATTCATACAGCTTATTTAAAAAAATGTCTTGAGTCAACAACATTAGCCAACTATATGGTCATACAATTAGGACACTACCTTTTCAAAGGAAATTTCTAAGTATAACGGAAAGGAGAAACATAGTTGCAAGATATTCTCATAAAGCCAGGGTATCTGATTTCACCTTGGATAATTTGTGATTCACCAAAATACAGCATTAAGCTGGCTATCATCAATGATAAAGTCTTCAGCAGAGTCTTTTCTTCCAAAGTTCAAATCAAAATTTTCGGAATTATAACCAAAAATATATTTTTTTTAGAATGAAGTTAGAGACAGAGCAGCGAGGAGTACAGCATTCAAAATGCAGGAGGAAGAAGCATGTAGTTCAAAAAAATATACCACAAATCTTGGTCACACTTAAAAAAAAAGAATAATATCAAACAATCAAGCTCAATTGAGCATGGCGGCGTCTGTGATTTTCTGTGCAGTATTTTAAGTTCAGTAACTTGTATATTATTATTTTTAAATTATATTTTATATAGAGCTTTTAAATAGTGTGGTTTTTATTTTCCTAAGACGACCGTTTTCAGCCCATGTGAGATACAGAGTCAACCTACTTGACAACATTTTTTTAAGAGGTGCTTTTACTCAAGGAATATCAAATAAATACTGGATGTATGTTAATATTTTTTTATTTGTACTGTGAAAACCGCCCAAACATTAGTAAATTTCCATCTGTCATTTTATATGGCGGGGAGTGAAATATCAAAATCAAATTCAAGCGGATCACCAAATGGAAATGGTATTTACCATTTTGGGTTGGTATTTACCAATCCGTTCAAGCGAGTGTAGTTATCAGTTTGGTTATAAGATCCGTGACGTCACGAATCAGCTGTTATATGTCATAGTTATCACCGCAAAATTGTGGTATTTACCCAACTCAAGAGTAGTTTTATATTTCTGGTTATTATTTGAAATGTGACAAGTTAGAATTTTGCCGGGTATTGGATATTGTTATTGTACTTCAGCTTCATTTTTGAGAAAATTGATACAGGTTGACTTCAGTTTTACCATAAAGTGGAGCACCTTATTAGTTATACTCATTACGGTTGTTGGGGACACTTTAAATGTAGTTCCTATGCTTAACAAAGTATCCTGTGTAGCCATATACAACAAGAATATTAAAATATGGCCATATAAACTCACTAGATGATATCCACCTGTATACGGTTTTGCTAATTTCTTTTTTCATCATTTCTGCTGAATCAATAAATGTTTTCTTTGACATGCTGAACATTTTAGAGAATTGAAAGTTATCATAGCTACAAAGCCATGGTTCCATCATTAAAAAAAAAATCTGAAAAAACATTTCTCACATGAATATTATGAAAGGTTTCTTATTTAAACTTTCCATATACAGTTGTAGACGAAAAAGCACCGATTATTAAGTGATAATAAAAATAATCAGAATACTGAACTACTCACTTTCAACACGCATCTGCGTGCAGAAAGTAGCACGCTTGGAGAACGCCTACAAGTTTTTATAACCCAAATAACTCTTCTTCTACTTTTAATATTGTTGATAATTATTATAAATGAATTATTGATGTTGCTGATGATGTTGATTTTACAATTATTAAATTTTTAATAAAACATAGTGCGTATTTAAAATTCTGGATTTATTACTTTCTGGCGCTGTTAGAAAAAAATCTTATACCTATAACACACTTGCTGAAGCTAGAAGCCGTTTAAGCTATAGCCTGTGAAATAGGAATTACAGCGTTGAAATCTTTTATTAAGATCCACCATTTTGTTTTGTATAAAATTTTAATTTAACTACTGTCACTCGCACCGCTAAGACGAATCCTACGACACCTCATATGTGAAAATCTATCAAGCCGTTTGATCTGTAGCCTATGAAGTAGGAATTACAAGGTTGAAATCTCGCATTAAAATCAACCATTTTATTTTTTATAAAATTTCAATGTAGCTAGTCTCACTCGCACCGCTAAGACAAATTCAACGACACCTCATATGTGAAAATCCGTCCAGCCGTTTCGCCTGTACGTGGCCGGAACGAGAATCCTGGGACCCACGGCACTGTGTACGATAATTTTGACGTGCTTGTACGATTATTTCTCGCGACGAATTTGGCAACGCTGGTGTTGTGTGACAACTTGTGTGTCATCGTGACAGTTCCGTGCTTCCAGCTGTTTGTGTGTTTATCTCAACGATTATCTTGTGGCTTGTCCAGTTTTCCCTGAGTTTACCAATATTTGCAGCAGTTGTACTGTTTTGCAGTTTGTTTCCAACTTTCTGGAAAATCATTTCCATAAGCTCGTTAGACCAAGATGTCTATGAGACCGGACGACCATCGTAGAAAATGGGACAAGGAAGAGTACGAAAAAATAGCCCTAGAAAGGGTAAAAGAAGAGAAACTAAAAAAGGATGAATCTGACAACAAAAAGAAAGGTCCTCCAGTTAAAAGAGAGATGCTGAAGATCAGAGAGTATAAAGTTGATTTGGATTCAAAGCTCGGAAAGAGCATAGTGATAAACAAAAATACTCCAACATCGCAGTCTGGTGGGTACTACTGTAATGTGTGTGACTGTGTGGTCAAAGATTCCATCAACTTTCTGGATCACATCAATGGCAAAAAACACCAAAGGAACCTGGGAATGTCAATGAAGGTAGAGAGAAGTTCGCTAGATTCTGTAAAAAAGAGATTCGAATTGAATAAGAAGAAAATGGAGGAGAAGAAGAAGGAGTATGATATGCAGCAGAGGTTGCAAGAGTTAGCTGAAGAAGAAGAAAAGCTGAAAGAATACAGGAAGGAGAAACGAAAAGAAAAAAGGAAGATAGAAGAGCTGCAGGAAGATGAACCTCCAAGTGAATTATCTAGCATAATGGGATTTTCAGGTTTTGGCTCATCCAAGAAAAAATAGTAATTCAAATGTTATAATCTTTATTGATAATTACCTAACAAAAATAATATAGTTATAAGTATGAACATCCACTTTGTGTCAATTTCCATGTTAGGTACCTAAAAAATGTAAATGTATCAAGATTTATGCAGAGTACTCTAGAATAACGATGATGCACACAGAGTACAAAAAATTCCTATGGAGAAATGTCCAACAGGGTTCCCACAAAGAGATGCAATACAAACATACCTTTCCGTTTGCTACATATTTTTCAGGCATAGGATCTGGTACATGTGGATTTGTATTCAAACCGTGACATACAGTGTTGCACAAAGTTGATGCAACAACTTTTATTGCAAGGTCCTTAACAGTTTTTGCAGCATTTATACCACATACTTTTGCTGATTTGACATAGTAGCAGTCAACTATGTTTTTAAAATCTCTGAAATGAAAATTTGCACTGCAAACAAAAATTTAGGATAGAGGGTGATATCAGACTTCAAGTTATGTAATGAAATTCAGGTCTATGGAGAATCGTTTTGGAAAATATAGGCAATGGAAAAATATCATACTTGCACACTTTTGTGTTATCAGGTTCTTCATTCCAATCAGGGGGGCCATCACATGCTTCATAATCATTTCTCAAGTCATGCAAGCAAAGATAGTATTTTGATAACTCTAAAAATATATGAAGGTATATGGATTGTTACATGATTTTCATGCAAACCAAAACATACTTGCGTAAAATGAGGACTCTGCACAGCAACACTCACTGTCAAGTTGTTTCACACCTTTGAGCAGATTTGCGTACAAGTTTGTTTCAGAAACCGTGCAATTATTGAGATATTTGCCAGAACTTTTGAGAACATCATCCAAATCCCTAAAAATGATTCACTTTTCATCTTATTGCCTTACTTCATGTGTTTGCAAAAATTATATTGTCCTAAGTGAAGGGCATACATCAGAGCCTCTATTCTCAAATAAATCTTACCTGCAAAGACTCTCTAAATTGTTTATGGGCATCTGAACAATATCCTCAGGATTTAAAACTTGAATTTTTGCTAAATATTCGATTAACTTGTCGTCGTCACATGCTAGTGCTGATGACGTGGTACCGAGAAAATCATTTCCTGATTTACCGTTTGATTTACATGTAACACATGAGGCATCAACGGTTAAAATGAAATTTATGAGAATTTGCGGGACGAGAAGTTTCCACATTTGAATTGAATTGGTAGTTTAATACTGGGCATGCGTATTGGATTCGGCATTCATTGACAGTTATATTAATGTCAAAAGCTCGGAACACAGACATTGGCAGGTGGCTTGATATAATGAAAATACCTTACGGAAACAAGTATTCTTATCCGACATTTTGCTACTGGAAGCTGTAAATTTATTATTATGAATATAAACGTACAATACATCAATGAAGATTTCGTGTTTTGAGAATCAATTTTCTGACTACTTTTCACGTTTGCAAGAAATGCAATGAGATAGTGAAGGTTAAGGTAGATGTTAGAGCATCGGTTTTTCTTTATCGTCCCTACCTATCAAGCACTTAGGCACAAAAACTTTTTCAAACCAATGTTACTCTACTCAACAGATTTTGATACATTATCATGTGTCCTTACGATTATATAAACTTGCAGGACAAAAATGGCAGACAAAATACAAACTCTTTAAAAATGTAGCTATGTATTTCTGATCTCTACTAGTCTATGCATAGAAGATTTGAAGGTCAATTCCGTCAATTGATTTGTTTATAAATTTTGACTATCCTACAAATTGTGCTGCAAATTTATCATAAAGAACAAATAAATATACAGAATTCTCTTGTTTTAAATTGGGAACATGTGGCTGATTGCGATATTATTCTTTATAAAAGGCGCCTGCTCAACATTTTTTGTAACAGATCAGTGTGTAGACCTTTGCAAAGATGCAAAATTACCTGCATTGGAGCTTGTAAGTGTTTTTTCCCTTTTTTTCTCTCTCTACATTATTAATTAATTAAAAACGTGACTTTTCAGGATTTTTATGAACAAGTTGTTTGCCAGCGAGGCTGTAGATTCTTCAATATAATCAAATTCACTGATGATATCAAAATAAACACAACCAAAAAGGAGTGCCATATATGTAAGTTGTTACATCAGCGCCTACCAGAAATATTGCAGAGGTTACACACTCTACAATACAATAATCAATGAATATTATCTTTATTGTACTATATATATGCAGTATAGGGTAATTCTCTACACCAGCCTTTTTTGTTTGTCCATCTGAATAGACATTAGATTTGAGTTGTAGATGATGGAAATCAGATCAAAAGTACAAATCTAGATTCTGGTTAACACAATAAAAGTGTATAAAATGTATGTATAAAAAATATCTATATAACTCAAAACAAAAATTCTTGCTGTGGAGGCTGCTTTTTTCACAAAAAAGAAACAAAATCCCTTCTGGCTATACTTTTATCATATCCACAAAGCATTTATACTGGTACGAATAACAGAACAACAAATATAAATTGCAGAACCATATTTAGAATGATTTGTTTTAGTATCTGATATGAGAAGGCATGTTGGAATATAAATCTGTACGAGAGAGGTAAACAATTGTAAATCCAAAAAAGTTTCGAGTTATGGATAACAAGTGAATATTTCAACACAGCTTCAACGGACATATTGCATCTTCAAATTTAAAATTATAAACAACAATAAGGCGGTGCTTCACAAAATGTGTTTTAGTTGCTATAATATTACTATAATATGTCAAAATGGTCTTTCGACTCATCACCTCTGAGCTACTGAAATAAATATGATTAAATGCGATACTTGAACTGATAGGTTCCTTTCAACTTGTAGCTTGTGAAGAATCATACATTGAGAAGAAAGAGAATGAAATATGCAAAACTGGATGTGATTTGATGGCAAAAGAACAGGAATCATTGACTTCAGCACTTCTTATTGAAGCAGAAAGTACAATTGTACTAGCTAGCCCCGACAGAGACATCGAATTAGACTTACTCTCTGATCCCAGTCTGAAAAGCCAGATTGAAGTTGGCTTCAATGTAGACTACAAAATACCAGAAACTCACATTAGAACCATGCCCATTGAGATATCAGAAGAGGAAATCAACATACGAGAAACTACTGATTGGTTAGATTGTGCTTCTAGAAATTCTGGGATTCCTAGATGGATTTTATTATCTGCAATTTTATTAGCAATACTTGTAGCATTGTGGCTAAGCTTTTCTAGTGAGAAACATGTCATTCAAGAGGAGGTTATTGCTGATATTGGTATCCCTGATGACAAATTGATTCTTGAGAATGATACCGCTTCAGAAAAATATAAATTGATGTTGGATGAGGCTGAGGGAGGCCATAGCTTTTTGGAAAATAATCCATTTGTTGCTGGACAAACTTACCTGGAACCACCACCCAAGTATAGTGTCACATGTGAGAATGCCTAATTGTAAAATTTATTTCTCATAATTTTAAGTGATCAATATTTTTTTTAAATCATGCTGATGTGACAACAAAAATCATATTAGCATAGTTCAGAGATAAGATGGATGAAATTCTACTTGTCCATATTTGGACAAAATTAAATTGAATTATTTTTTAAACTGTGAAAACTGAGCACATATTAATTGTCAAAATTTAATAATTTACTAGAAATGGTCATCAACAACTTACAAAATAATGAAATACATAAAACAAATGCTGTTTAAACCACCTTTTGAAATATTGATTTTATTTGATGTAATGCTATGTTTAAGACTACAGTTTTATCTATTCCTATCTAAATGTACTTCAGTAATTCCATTAGAGTACATATTTTGAGGTATACTCAGGAAATTTGGGCACTTGAGTGATCATGGCTATAGAGAGATAGAAAAATCATTTTTGCAAATACTATCTAATGGAAAATTAAGGTTATTATGGGATGTTTCCCTTGAGTCATTTTATTTTTCGCAAAAAAAATAAATTGTCCTGGAACTATGGAGCTATGTTTTAATAGAAATAGCTAGGTACAACAAAATATCTATATCAAATAAATTGAAAAACTGAGGCTTAAACTGCATGCCTTTTTCTGTTTGTAATTATATGGATATCAAAATTTGGTTTTAATGTTTGTGGATCATTTCACTTTTACTTTTTAAATCATCCTAATTTTTTTGCTCACAAAAATGTGTGGACCCTCATATTTTATGTATGATATTTTTGGTTTTTACACTGTTAAAGAAAAACTCAATGGAGTGTATATATTTTCCTGTATTCAGGATATTTTTCTAAAGTCTTTATATGGATGCTATATTAGTTTTCTATTAGAACTTGTCCAATACAAAACTAAAAATTACATATGTAATTTTTTTGGATTTCAAAAAGACCAGATTTGAAAAATTGTTGAAGGATATTAAAACTATCGGAGATGAGAAAATAGGCTACAGACAAACTGTCCAAAGTTTCTCTCATAAGGGCGCCGCGAAATAGTCAATTAAACAATTCTGCCTTTTTTTTTGTATCCACAATTCTAGAAAGTCAAAATCTGATGTTTTAAGGGCGCCGCAAACCGAAAATGATTGGGAGCCTCTGGTCTAAAGTATAGCGAGGTGCACCTTATGCAAAAATACGCGTTAGCTGAAATGAAAATATTTTCTTTGCATTTCAAAATGCCATCTTTTGGCGTGGGAGGACTTCGAAACTGAAACTAATTGCAAACAGCAACAGCCAGACAATATGGCATCCATGTAACAGGTCTATACTAGTGTTGTAAGGATATTTTGAAAAATGTATTATTAACCTACAAATGGTTTGAGCTGTTGTCTTTTCCACATGCATCCATTACAGTAAAATAACAGCTGTTTATCTAGAAATATTTTAAAATTCCCCATATTGTCAAATGACACATAATTCTGACGGACCCGTCAACGCCAGGTAGCCGTATTTTGTTTTTACGTTACAGATTTTACTTGCTAATAACTCTTATTTAGAAAAGATCATTTGCATACAAAAAAAAAAACGCCACAAGCAAGGTTTACTACAAGGTCTGTGGTAAAGTAAACAGGACTTTTGAAAGATATCAAATACAAGTAGCGCCATCTATTAACGGAGACTATCGTTGGATAGGTACATCTTTCATTGATGCCCTGTCAAAATTCCATGAAAATCGAACCACTTCACGCGGAGGTATCGCGCTCAAAGTGACATTACCTTTTTAGGATCGGTCGAAAAATGAGCATGGTGTTATGAGGCGTTTGCCGTCGCGTTTGGCCAGAATATCGTGAAGAAGGAAGCTGGCGCTTGTTGCACGATGATGTACCATTTCGTCGATCGACGCTTGTCTCCGATTTTTTGACAGAAATAGCATTTTAACCATCAACCACTCCCCATATTCTCCTGATATGGCACCCCGTCACTATTTTCTGTTCGGTAAACTACATTTGGCCATGAAGCGACAGCGGTATGCCGACGTAGAGGACATCCCGGTCAGTGAGCGAAAATCTTTTGATCCATGGAAATCGCTGCATTAACTCTGATTTTCCGAAACAAAAGTTGATGGTTCATTTTTTTGTCGTTTACTTTGCGACAGACCTTGTATATTTACGCCCGATTCATTATTGCCAAAGTTACAGACTAATACAAAGATGTCACTTGCTGATTAGCTGTTTACCTCAAAAGACGTCAAAACGTATGGATGCTCGTGAAATAGGGTTTATTATTATTGTGATTGTGACTTTAGTGTAAGACATTACTTTTATTTGCACTGGTGCATCATCAGTAAACGTAAAATTGCAATAATTCGTGAAATTTCGAATTTAGAATCATCTAAAAGTTCCGGCTGGTCCGGCTAGCGCAATGCACGGTCGCCACTTTGTATTCATTTTGTCTAGGAGTGCGCCCGGGTACATGTACAAAAAAGTATTGGAGTAGGGATCTCTAATCTGATCAGCCCGACCGTAGATTTGCAGCAAATAAGTCAACTTTTAACTTCTAGCGATTCTTGAGGATATATTTAAAAAAATGCTAGTGTTCTGTTAATTCTAAATACTCGATATATTGTAAGCTTTTTACTTTAAATGTGATATCCATTTCCAGATATTCATACGAGTATTATGGACTTTGGACATTATTCGACTTTACTTGTTCAATGTTTACGTTAGTATATAAGTTCTTACATGCTTTATTATTACACTTTGATAGAGATTGAACTGATATCAGCCTCAGATATGAATATTGTGTTTGTGATAAAATTGTCTTTTTGAATTAAATAAACGTGGATACACTTGATACTATTTTTTATTGAGCCTATACTTAAGAATTATATAGTGTACAATAAATTAATAATCTGCGGCTGTATTCGCCAGATAATCTCTTCTTCCAATATTTGACGCCTGTTTGTTTTGTAATGCTTCTAACTTTGGACAGTCAGTGATCCTGTGACCCAAGCCGCCACAATAACTACAACCATGTTCTCCTGGAATACAAAAGCATTTATTGACGTGTGCACAGTAAAATAATTGGGAGTCAAATTGAAAATGCTCGTGATGTATACTGCATCGTACTATAAGTTTTTTTCAGGTTACAAAGTTTATAAAGCAGGGTTAGTCAAGGTGGTGGACATGATTTAAAATACTACATAAACTTGGCGATAAAAGAAATCAACATACCTCCAAGAGCCAAATATTTTTCACTTTCAGAGCAAAGTTCAGCGAGAAACGGTGGCACCTTTTGTTTTGCTTCTATCAATAAATGTTTGAGATCTAGCAGTACTGATTCATCATTCGATTTGTTTATGAAGGTGGTCGCTAATCCTTTATTTCCTGATCTTCCGGTACGCCCTATCCTGTGGACTGAAGAAAAAATATGTTAGCAGAAAAAATGTTTAGTATCGTTGCTGTCTAATGGCAGTAATTTGAGATTTTGTTCCCTATAGGCGGCGCTAGTGTGATTGGAGGTCAAGCTGTCAAAAGTAGACGGGGAAAGAAGTAACCTAATTTGCACCAATTTAAAGAGATCTGATTAACTTGCGGAGGTTCAAGGGCCGATCACAATAATCTTCTGAAAAAATCGAATATGAAATTTTTTAACAAAATGGAAATTTGGAACAAAAAATTGGATTTGGAAAATAATTTGAATTACAAATCTTTTGAAAATTTTTTGCAAGTTAAAATAAGAAATGGAAATTTTGATTAAAACTAGAAAATTTTGCAATTGAAAAAGATGGATTTACTAATTGGGAAAAAATTGGGGTATAAAAAAAATTTTAAATTTGGAAAAAATGGAAATTTAGAATAAAATTCGAAAACTCTTGATTATAAGTACTTTTTTTGTCGTTTTGAGATAAAAATTCAGAAAATAAATTATAGTTTGGAAAAAATCGCTTTAATAGCAAATCGACCTAAAAAGTATAAAATAATTATCAACCATAGGAGAGAACTTGGAATAAGATCAATATAAATATTGAGATGTTAACGAAAACATCAATTACATTAAAAAAGCATGGTGTGCAATTAACTAAATTTCTATATCTCCAATTTTGTAACTAAAAAATGCATCGGTTTGGTTTTCTTAAACTGTTTATTTCACGATGTGTCACCACGGTTTGACGTCTCAATAGACGTGAATACACCAATCAACTCACCATAATTTTCAACATCATCTGGCATGTCATAGTTTATGACGTGCTGAATGTCTGGAAAGTCTAAACCTTTGGATGCTACATCAGTTGCCACTAATACGTCTTTTTCTTGCCTTCTGAATGCTTCAACTGATCTAGATCTTTCTTCCTGGTCTGTAAACAGGAACATACGTTTGTAAACTAAACAAACTTTGAAAACTGAAAATATACCTTTTCCACCATGAATAGCTACAGCTTCAACACCTTTTAGTAGAAGGTACTCATGGATAGCGTCCACATCTTGTTTCTTCTCGGCGAATATTAGAACTGGAGGTGGTGTTTTTTGCAGGCATTCCAGTAGATATACAATTTTAGCTTCTTGTTTCACATATTCCACTTCCTAAAACAATAACGAAATATTTGAAGGGATATGACCAGTATAGTTTTGAAGCAAACATTTTCTATCAATGTACAGTGAAAGCTCTCCTTGCGGACAGCTCCTATAAGCGGACATCTCTTTTAACCGGACAAAGTTCCTGGAACCGAATTTCAGCCATCAATTTTCAATGTTAAATGCATTCCGATAAACGGACGCTCTTATAAACGGACGCGGACTCTAGATTTTCCTGTATGTGATCAAAAAATCTCCCATAAGCGGACGCGAAACTCTAATACCCGGACGATTTTTTAGTTCCGCTTATTGCAATGCACATATCTACATACATAAAATTCGGTAATTCCCCGATTTATATTAGGTGATTCCCCATTTACGCATTTCGTTGGGTAGCCTATATGTAATCTTGTGGCTTGTCTTCAGTTCAGGCAAATTCGTAGTTGAGTGAGTTACGTATTTTATTATTGTAACTGTAAAATGGCACCAAAAAAAAGGATGCTCTCGTTAAAGGAAAAGATGGAAGTTGTTAACGTATTAGACAGAGAAAGTGTTTCAGTTCGTCATTTGGCAAAGAGGTTTAATATTGGGAAAACGCAAGCAGCTGAAATTGCCAAAAATAAGGAAGATATCAGGAGTAAATGGCAATCAGGAACTAATATAAATCAAAAGAAGGATTTTTTAAAAAAGGAAGGTTTTGCTATAGACAAAACATGTTTTGAGTGGTTTGTGAAAGCTAGAAGTCAGAACATTCCAATCTCAGGGCCGTTAGTGAAAATGAAAGCTAAAGAAATCGCCACTACTTTGGGCTATAATAATTTCAGTGCGTCCGACGGGTGGCTGCAAAAGTGGCGCAAGAGACATAGTGTGAGTTTCAAATGCATATCTGGCGAAGCTGCTGCAGTAGATCAAGTTGATGTGTCACAATTTTTGGAGAAACTTCCGTCCATGTTGCTTGGCTACAAACCAGAAGATGTGTACAACGCAGATGAGAGTGGACTTTTTTTTCGCGCATTGCCCGACAAAACTCTGTCCTTTAAAGAAGAAACATGTGTGGGTGGAAAATTGTCTAAAGATAGACTAACCATTTTATTCTGTGCAAATATGGCCGGTGAAAAATGCGATTTGATTGTGATCGGGAAAGCGGCTCGTCCCCGTGCTTTAAAAAACGTTGCTATTAAGGATCTACCAGCGACTTGGAAATCCAACAAAAAGGCATGGATGACCCGAGAAATCATGTCTGAGTGGTTAGTCGAATTCGACCGGAAAATGAGAATCCAAAAAAGGCAAGTTCTTTTATTTGTAGACAATGCATGCTCTCATCCTCGTGATATGAAAATGAAAAATGTGAAAATTATATTTTTACCGCCAAACACAACTTCTGTTTGTCAGCCCATGGATCAAGGTGTCATACAGAACTTTAAATTTTATTATCGGCACTTGATTTTAAAACATATTTTAACAAAAATTGACGATGGTCAAAGCTTATCTGAGCTTACAAAGTCTATCAATGTGTTAGAAGCTTTGTATTTTATAAAAACAGCATGGAATAAAGTAAATTCCTCTACAATTAAAAACTGTTTTGGCAAAGCTGGATTCAGAAAAAGTGAATGTAGCTCAGAATTTGCTGAGCAAAATTATTGCGATAACTGAAGGCGATCTGCCCTTAGCGACTTCGAATTTGGATGTCGAAAGCCCAGGCCAACTTGAATATGGTAGTCCAAACGACTCAGAAGAAGAAGTGGAACTGGTGGACTCACTAAGCGGTTCAAAAACGATAAATTCATATGGGGAAGCTCTAAATCATATTTCTATATTGAACAAAATTTGCTAAAGATGATTTAACTGCATTTCAACATTTGAAAAATTAAGAAAGTTATTACGAAAATTGTCTCCTTCAGCAAAAGATGGTGAAATTTCGTCAGACAAACATTTTAAACTTTTTTCAACAAGCTAAAGAATAATGTTTTTTTTAAATTCTCGTACCATGTATTGAAGCATTTATGTTTTTGTATGCGTATATGTACATATATTATATAGATATATAGCATAAATACATACTTTAAAAATGTGGCGAGTTTCTGTTTCATTTTTCTCATGATTATAATACCTCATTTCCTCATGATTATATACCCCGTTATTTATACTCTATACTTACATACTCTCTTTTAAACGGACACCTCCCATAAGCGGACAAAAGTTACGGAACCGTGAGTGTCCGCTTATGGGAGCTTTCACTGTATATAAAAAATTTTTCATTTTATGCAAGCTATTCGGAACCCTGCACTACAAGGGATCGACATTAAAAAGGACATATTCGCGATCGAGGAGTGGTCTAAGAAATTGCATATATGTCACTCAATGCAGAACAGTGAACGATAGTTCGTAATGGGAAGATAATCCTCATATAAAGTACAGTATAGGGCAGGTAGACATTGTACAGTATCAGGAGTTATAGTAGCACATAATTTAGAGTGGGATGCTCTTCAAAAATACGTAAAAACACCCTGTGCAAAACCTACCTGTATGACATTCATCGAAGCAGCACCAGCCCTCCCAACATTTATTGTAATAGGCTTAACCAAAGCAGATCTGGCAAAATTTTGAATCTTCTTTGGCATAGTAGCTGAAAATAGCAAAGTTTGCCTTTGACCCTGGAATCAAATTATGATCTTGTTATATACAGGGTGTAATTTAATCGATTTTTAAAAATACAGAATATCATTCCTTAGCTTATTTTAGGAGCATAATTATGTCCTAAACCTGTTAACTTTCGAGCTACAGGGTGTCAAAGTTTATAAAAAGTCGTTTTCTTATCAAAACTTCAATACTGTTCTAGATATTTTCATGAAATTTGACATGTGCCTACTAAGTCATCACTAGTCATTTTTTTATGTAGAATATTTTTTAATATTTCTACCAGTGTCGTCCGTACATTGAAGATTTTTCAAAAAACAAAATACGGTAGGTCATTGCATTTTCCGAAAACGAAATTCACTTTTTTCGGTCTGATGCACCGTTTTCGGGTAAATATTTTGTCTATTTTAATTGACTTTACTTTCATGAAAATTAAACAAAAACGCATATTACCTACAAACTACCACACGAGATTTTAGCGATATTGCAACACATGAAAATTAAAAAAGCAAATTTATTGCGTAATAAACGAGAACTTCAAAAATATTTTTTTTAAAAAAGCAAATCTTATTAAAGCTATAAGAAAACGATTTTTTTCTTAAAATTCTAACACCCTGTAGCTCAAAAGTTGAGAGGCTTATATAAACATCAATTAAATTACACCCTGTATTGTACCAGACAAAGACAATGGAAACATAAAGTAGCAGCTCCAAAATGTGTAAAGAACAAACAGCAAGAAAACAGTAAATGTTATTGATAAAGAGTATTGGGATTTCCTTATTAAGTGAAAGTCGGATAACATACAGAATTGTAAGTTAATCTAGTGACTGTTTGAACAATGTGTAGTAAAATTTGAAAACATCCTCACATTGAAGTATGAAAATATCGTCCTGACATCTTCTTCAAATCCAAGATCTATCATTCTGTCTGCTTCATCCATACACAAGTATCGACAGACTGACAGTTTCACGATTTTTTTCTCTAGCATGTCCATAAGCCTTCCAGGTGTGGCCACCATTATATGGACTCCTCTTTAAAAAATCATTATAATTTAGAAAATAGAATGCTATACAGGGTGTTCCTTACTTAAATGGATATTGTGAAATGGTAGGTAGTATGGACCAATATCTATTCATATCTGAAAATAAAAAAGATCCAAACTCCGTTTTTACGGATATACAGGGCGATTTATCTAAGCACGCCAAACGTACATATATGTCACATATCTCAGGCACTAATGAACCGATTTTGTTGACATTTTGCACGTTAACTGAGTTATCTAGCAGTATCGTAAAACTAGATGAACACTCAAAATAATCCAGGGCAGGACTCGATTTTCTTCACTTTTTCGTTTTTCATCAAAATCAACAACCTATAAGTTGAATATTGAAATGCTTGACTATGTACAAAAATGCCAGTGCCAAATGATTCTTCTGATTTTTTAAACATTTTTATTTACAAAACTCCAAATTTCAAGGGTTATCAACTTGGTTCCATCAAATTTTACAATGGATAAACTTGAACCAAAGATGGTTTATGTACTCAAAATTCTAGTATCGGAATCAGCTTTTTTTTTGTAAAAGTCAGGTTCACTTCCAGTTCCGCTTGACTTTTACAAAAAAATTAAAAATGGTAGTAGATAACAACCGTATAACACATAACTTTGACAAACTATCTCCCAAGAAACGTCAAGTTGATATCAAGGCCTCTTATTTTATTTTGAAATTATTTTTATTTTTACAAAAACACAAGAGTAATTCTTTGTAGCAAATTGGTGTACAGTGGCGTACTATTTTTATTTGGAAAACAATGCCACTAATCCCCTGTATCTCCGCCACTGGTGCCCTTAATATTAAGTCAAGACTTTTGAATGTGTAAAATACGGTAAATCCACATACCAAATTTTAGTTCATTTCAGTTGACGGTTTTGAAGATATTAAAAAAATGTCTTCTATTTTTAAACTTCAACACCTGGTATCTTTTTAATGAAGCCCTTGAGGAAAAGATGTTACATAGAAGACCCCCTTAAAATGCGGTTCTGTGTATGATGTTTCACTTTTGGTCACGAGTTGTGAATCAATTCGATTGTACCACTTTAGACTATGCATACTAGTATGCACATATACAGTTTAAATTATTTGGGAAACGTTATGATCTTTGTACTTTTTACCGTTCACCAAACAGTGATGCAGATACATTTTTAACGTTTTTTGAAGAAAAATGCGAAGAAATGTGGAATTTTAGAAACAATATAATACTTTTAGGTGATTTTAATTTAAATTATTATGGTAAAAGCATGAAAACAAGAAAATTGAAAGAAACCATAAACAACTATGGGTTCAAGCAAAAAATTGAAGAGAGTACCAGAATAACATCATTATCAGAGACTTTGTTAGATCTTGTTATTGTAAATTTCGAATGTGCAGGGATTAAAGCTGTACATACACCTAAAGTTAGCGATCACAGTTGGACAATGCTGCCCTTGGTAGGGCATTTTTCTGATACAAAAATTAAGAAAATCGTAAATACTATTAAGTACGAAAAACTTGAACGAGAACTTGCTGGCAGCTATTGGAATTTTGGTGAGAATATGGAAAAAATATATGACAACATAATAGGAAATATAAAAACTTGTTTAGATCTTGCAACTGATAAAAAAGTGATTTGCTCGACAACAAATACACCCTGGTATAACAAGAATATTAAGGCAGCTCAAAATTTGAGAGACAAACAATACAATAAATGTATATTCACAAAATCAAATGATGATTGGGAGGTATATAAAACTCTTAGGAATAAATGTGTATATGTAATTAGAGAAGAAAAAAGAAAATTCTACGATAAACAAATCGATAATAACAAGTGCGACAGTGTAAAGATGTGGAAGACTTTAAAAAGACTGATCAATTCGAAGCCGCATGATTGTGTAAATCAAGTTCAATTCGAAAACGGTACCGAAACAAATTCTTTGGTGATTGCAAACAAACTAAATGAATATTTTGTGGAAAGTATTGTTGATATTGTAGGTACTGCCAATGCTGCACCTGACTATATGAAAATCAGTTTCCAGGGGGAAATGTTGCATACACTTTCAAAATTTCACAGCGTATCATTGAATTATCTAAGAAAAAAAGTAAACAGTTTAAAATCAAATAACAACTGTGCCGAAATGACTACTAAAAACGTGCTGAAAAACTGTTTCGAAATTTTGGGATATCCTGTATTAAATTGGATCAATTGTTCACTGAGAAGCAGTTCTTTCCCTGAAAATTTGAAATGCTCTACAATAACACCAGTTCCCAAAATAAAAAATTCTAAAAGATGCAGCGGTATGAGACCAGTAAATGTGTTACCAGACATTGAAAAATTATTAGAGTCCATAGTGCATGACCAATTAATGCAGTTTATAGAAGAAAACAAAATTTTAGTGGAGGCGCAAGCAGGCTTTCGAAAAAAATATTCCACAGAAACAGCTTTCCAGTTGGTAACTGAGAATTGGAGAAGAGCCATAGACTCAGAAGAAGTTGTCATAGCAGTATTTTTGGATTTGAAGAGGGCATTTGAAACGATTGATAGAGATATTTTGTTAGGTAAATTGAAGGCATATGGTACAACAGGAAGTGTTTTAGATTGGTTTAGAAATTATTTGTCTAAAAGGATGCAAGTTACAAAAGTTAATGACACTATTTCATCAAAAATTGAAAATACGTTGGGTGTTCCACAGGGCAGTATCCTGGGACCGCTTCTTTTTATTTTATACATAAATGATTTACCTGCCATAGTCAAAAAATGCAAAATTCAAATTTTCGCCGATGACACTATGATTTATATAAGTACTAAAAATATTCAGTCTGGTATCTCTTATATAAATGAAGACTTGAAGCTTGTCTCAAAATGGTTAGCATCTAACAGACTAAAATTAAATGCAAGTAAAACGAAAGCCTTGTTAATCGGAAAAAAAACAATGTACAAATGTTCAACTGAATATTGATGGTGAAGATATTGAATTCGTAGAAAATTTTAAATACCTGGGAGTTTTTGTTGACTCTCGATTAATTTTTCATATTCATTATGAAAAAGTTATAAATAAGATTAGTAGTAAAGTGGGATATTTATCGAGAGTTTCTGGATGTCTGAGTTCATATAGCAGAAAAATTATCTATAATACCATCATTCTTCCAAATTTCTTGTACTGTTCGACTATTATATGTTTAGCAAATAATTCCATTTTTGAAAGACTGCAAATTATAAATAATTAATAAAGATAAATATACTCCAATTAGGCAAATGCTTAGCAAATTAAAATGGCTCAATGTAAAAAATTTTATCAAATATCTTGTAATGATATTCATTTATAAAGTAAAAAATAATATATTTCCATCAAGTCTAACTAATTTAACATCATCAAATGTCGACCATGGACCATGATTTACATAATAGCAGAAATAAAGATGACTTCCATTTAATGACCAAAAAGTATAACGTATGCTACAAATCTGTATTCCATCAAGGGTTGATTGAATATAATAAATTATACTCGGAGATAAAAGACCAGAAAACTTTGACAAAACTTAAAGTAAAATTGAGAAAACACTTGTTAAATCTACAATTATAGGTTGCCCAGCATTTACATCATACACCATATGGCTTGAATTTACTAGTTCTAAGTTGTTTACAATTGTTCTGTTTATGTAGCCAAATGTGCTAAATAAATCTTTCTACTACTACTACTACCCACTCAATCTAGTCATAATGAACTTGTATCTTTTAATATGTTTTGCATATAGTGTGGTGCAACAAACACTGTTAACTCACTCTGTATTATATTCAAATTTACTGTGATATTTTAACTATGCTACTTTTCTTCTGACATTTCATGTCAAGTTCATGTTTGAAATTTGACTAAATGTACTACTACTACTACTATGTCTATTTAAGTAGGGAACACCTTGTATAGATAAATGAAGTAGTACTAAATGCATGTTAAAATTGATTCTTTTAATTAATCAACAGTTCTATTAGTAAGTAAAATGATTAATTGATCTGTCGTTTCATTTTTGTGCAGAGGATGAGATTAGTTTGCACACTACTCACCTTTGTATAATTTCTATAGATTCTGTGACTGGAACTCCACCAATAGCAAGACATGTTCTGATTTGTGGCATATTGTATTTCCTTAAGCTATCACAATAGTATTGGATGATATCATATGTCTGTTTAGCAAGTTCTCTAGACGGGCAAATAATGAGCCCATAAGGACCCTCATTTTTGGTGAAGGGAAGTTTTACTTCTTGTTCCAAACAGAACATTATAAGGGGTAGGACAAAAACCAGTGTTTTACCAGATCCTGTGAATGCTATCCCAATCATGTCTCTTCCTGATAATCTGGAATAAATACTTTTATTGAAAACTTGTTTAAGCAAAAACTGAATGTTGATCTAGGATTGAAAAAAGAATAGCAAAGTTCCTTACACTGTTGGTATACCCTGGATTTGTATGGGAGTAGGTTTTTTGATGTGTTTTTCCTTCAATGCTGCAATGATACCTCCATGTAACTTCATCTCTTTGAATGACCTCAGCGGTGGCGGAATATCTTCCCCTTCTACTAAGATCCTCAGTTCTATTCTAAGTTTTTCATATCTGCTTGGTGGCATTTCCAGCACATACCTTGGTGGTCTCCAACTAAATAAAATGAGACATTACTAGATGGTCAAAAAGCATAAAGGCTGTGAAATATTAATTTGTCAATGATTGAAAAATGATGCATTAAAATAAATCAGGATTAAATAAACATAAAATTGTATAATACCAAACTTTGAATTGTGCAATAGATATAATAACTGTTTAATTGACAGAAGTCAAAAAACCAAAACTGGATCTACATTATGAAGATCAAAAAATATTTCTGTTGGTATACCCCAAGGTAGTAAACTAGGTCCACTACTATTTATTTTATACATTAATGACATTTGTAATATTTAGATTATTGTAAACTTCAGATATTTGCAGATGATAGATTAATATACATATCAGATGAAAATATAGACACTGCTTTAAAAATGCTAAATTCTGATTCGAAAGAGAAGAAAGAACCTGTGGCATCGATTGCAAGAAAATATAAAATTAATGAGTCGTCTGTGCGTACTATCCGTCAAAATAAAGACAAAATTTGTCATAGTTTACAATCTAGTGCTCCTAAATGTACAAAAGTGGCTGGCTACGAGAAGTGGCCCTATTGAAAAAATGGAAAAAGCTTTGTCTCTGTGGATCGAAGATCAAAATAAAAAGCGGGCACCTCTTAGATCAGCTCTCATTAGGGATAAAGTGACACGCCTGTACGAGAATTTCGTAGATGATGAGCCACTGTCATCAAACATATATTCAAAAACATTTTTGGCTAGTAAAGGATGGTTTGAAAGATTTAAAAGTCGTCATAGTCCACATAATCTTAAACTGCAAGGGGAAGCAGCTTCAGCAGATATTAATGCAGCAAGGGAATATCCTGGGCAACTTTTAAAAATCATTGAAGAAGAAGGTTTTAAACCTGAGCAGGTTTTTAACGCGGCTTGTTTTGGATGCCAAACCGTACATTTTTATCAAAAGAGAAGACCACACAGGGTTTTAAAATAGCAAAGGATCGTCTCACAGCTTTGCTTTGTTCAAATGCTTCTGGAGATTGTATGATTAAGCCTTTATTAGTGTACAAGTCATTGAATCCCCGTGCTTTAAAAAACAAAGATAAAAATAAATTGCCTGTGTTTTGGCGTGCCAATGGTCATGCACGGGTGACATTTTCTTGGACTGGTTTGAGAACTGTTTTATACCAGAGGTTAAACGTTATTTGACGTCAAAAAATCTTGAATTTAAGGTGTTATTACTCATAGATAATGCCCCTGGTCACCCAGCCGCCCGTTTACAGGAAATAAATCCCAATGCTCGAGTAGAATTTCTTCCACCAAACGCCACATCAATCCTACAGCCTCTTGATCAGGGAATCATTGCCATCTACAAAGCTAATTACACGCGACGCACGTTTAAAATGCTGTTAGGAAACTTGGAACGCGACCCTACAAAAACATTAAGCCATTGCTGGAACGACTATTACACAATTGCAGATTGCCCACATAATATTAAAGAATCGATTGGTGACCTTAAAAAATCGACATTAAACGGCTGCTGGAAAAACTTTTGGCCAGAAATTGTGAAGTCTCATGCGAAGGTGCCTGATATCAGAGACGAAATAAAAGAAATTGCTGATTTAGGAAAGTCACTACCTGAAGAGGGATTCGATGATATGAATGAGGATGATATAAATCAGCTATTTGAATCGCATACTGTTGAACTCACTGAAAGAGAACTCATAGAACTGACGGAGAAGAATCAAGAAAAAGGTGAAGATGATGAAGCAGTCCCGGCACCAAAGGAGTTGACGTTGAAAACGCTTAATAAATGTTTTACCATGGCACACGATCTCACCGAGCTGTTAATCAGGGAAGATACTACAATGTAAAACGAGAGGTTTTTGCAGCATTGGTACCATACAAGGAAGTTGAGAAGAATTTACGCAACGAAGCTAAACTGTCAAAAATGACGTCTTATTTTTATAAAAATTAATATTTTTGTTAAAAAATTAACGTTTAATGTTCTCATACATAATATGTACAAACATACCTATGTATATTATGTATTTAACAAAAGTTTATGTAATAAAATGTTTTTGTTTCGATATATATTCTTTTTACGCGGTGTTTTCAAAGAACGTTACCCCCGCGTAAAACGAGGGAGGCCTGTAAACTAAAATTGTATACTTCTAAAACAAAATGTAGGCTAATAGGAAAAAACCTAAATGAAAATACTATCACAGTTAGGATAAATGGGGAAATAATTGAAAATGTTGAATCAATTAAGTATTTAGGTATATACTCATATATTGATAGTAAACTAAAGTTTGAGGATCACTATGAATACATTATTTCAAAAATTGCCAACAAAAAACAAATTACTTTTATAGGGCTTCTCATAGTCTTGGTACCTATTCCGAGAAAATAGTTTATAATACAATTATCTACCAGATTTACTATATTGTTCAGCTATCTTGTTCACTGCCAATGAAGCTGTATTCTCAAAATTACAAGTCTTGCAAAATAAAGTTATGTGAATAATATTGAATACAAATAAGTACACCAAAAAAAAACTAAGTTACAAGAATTCCAGTTGTTGAATATAAAAAAATTTCATATCATTTCTGGTTCTTATTTTTATATTTAAAATAAAAAATCATCTTTTGCCAGAACATTTAGAACACTACATAGAATTCAATAATCATTACCACAATTATTATACAAGGGGTAAATATAGATTTTCATTTACAAAATTGCAATAGTAATATAACTAGCAAATCAATATTTCAGAAAGGATTACTTGAATTTAATAAACTAAATAATGATATAAAGTCTACTTGTAATTTAAAGATATTTGAAAGAAAATTAAAGGAATATTTCATGGACAAGGAAAATTCTTAGAGACACAATTTTTTTTCTGAATATCTGTATGTTATGTAATTGTTTAGTTTTTTAGAAGATGTAATTGTAGCAATCATGCTGAATAAATCTTAAACAAACAAATGGTATGGAATTAAAAATATATGGGAATTATAAAAAATATGCAAATGTAGAGTATGAAAGCTACACATAGGTGACACTTCATGCATCTATTCTGCTATTAACAAGGCAATAGAGAGTCGAACATTGTTTACCTAGTTTTGATAGGTTCACAATACTGAATTCCCTTAGCCAACTCTGACACACCCATAAGAGCTTTTTTCTCAGCAACAATCTCCAAGATTTCTTCTTCCTTTTTCAGTTGCCTTTCTACAGCACTGACCTTTTTTGCTGAAACAGATAAGATTCAGTTATATGGCTATCACAATGTAACTATTTTTACCGCATACCTTCTGCCAGTTTCCGGAGCTCGGTGTGTTGATCCAGCAATGGAATATTGTTCTTTCTCCCCCATATTTCATCTTCTTCTTCATCATCCTCATTTGTTTCATTTTCACTGGATGATTTTGGTTTATTATGTTCTGCCTCTTTAAGCTAGTTGATCAAGAAAATTGTTCAATTAGAATGCGACTCACAATGTTTATCTAACTTAACATTAAAATACTACCAATAATTTTATGAGAGCACTAACAATGATGAACTAAATGTATGTTTGCAAGTGTCAAGAAGATAATTATACATTTTGAATCTGAGGTTGTGATGACTACTGCCAGCCCCAAATACCACTAAATATTTAAATCAAGTTTTTGGAGCTTGACAGGTACATTATAGAACTAATTCCTCACCTGGCCTATTCGACCTAGCTTCATCAACTGCTGCTTTTTCCTTTCCTTAACTGGGACATAGGGAACATAATTATCATCAGAATCTGAGTTATTCTTTTCGTCTTCCTCAACCCGTCTATATCTCTAAAATTGATTTCCTTTGTAAATTTAGGGGAACAAATTTGTTCAGCCTACTTACCTTTTTTGGTGGCTCGTCAGTGCTCATTTTTACAAGCTATTAGTAGCAGTGGCTCAAGAAAAGTATTAATTTCTCCTCAATTTTAACATTTGTGTTTACATGCGAGTTTTGTCAAAAGAACGTAAACATTACGATAAGTTCCCCGTTTTCCAGGGAAAAATTCCCCTGGCACGAAATCGCACCGACCTGCATGGAATACTACGTTCCCATGTCCCTTTCATCTGTCAACTTGACAGATGCCTAAAAGGGCAAACATGTGTCAGATACTTCTATTCCAAACACGTGTATTTTTCATTTATCGTGATGGTGGGTTGCGGAAGTAAACTGAGAAGAAAACGCAAAACAAAAAATAAAACACGAGATTTGGATGAGGTAATAATCATCATTTCCATCCACTTTCAATACTTATCTGTTCGGGTACATTTTTAGATTGATCAAGACCTGCAACCAGACACAGCAAAGAAACTGTTGAACCAGGAGGTGGACTTTGATAAACCAGGAGCAGCTCAACATTACTGTCTTCATTGTGCACGGTATTTCATAAATAATTTTGCTTTACAAGAACACTTCAAATCCAAAGTACATAAAAGAAAGCTAAAGTTGCTAGAAGAGGAGCCCTACACAATCGAAGAATCAGAGCGAGCAGCTGGTCTGGGAAGTTGGAAAGCACCTCAAAAGAGGAAAATCGAAACACAACCTGATAAAAGTGACATTGATGGGAAGAGGATGAAAGTTGATGAACATGTTGAAACATAGCTGTCTGTATTTTACACATACTTTGAAGAGGTGTTATTCTGCATTATATATAACAGGAAAGAAGGCCCAAGAAACATTTGCTGTTTTAACTCCATACATAGACTTTGAGGAAAGATACAATAATAAGAAAAATGAATTGATTGCAAATATAGCGGCACGGAACTACCCTTTGGATATTCATAAGGTATTTGATAGTTGGGAGTTTTTCCAGACAGTTGATGACCGACGAAAAAAACTAGAAGCAACAAGGACTGAGCTTGCACAAAAAATCAGTACCTTGATGAAAGAGTATTCGAAAAATGAAGATGAAATTAAAAAACTAAGATTACATGCTAAACTTATTAAAGATGACCTAAAAGCTATGAAAGAGCATTATTATGAGGTTGAGGAACAAGTTATGTTAAAAATTTTAGACTTACCAAATGTTCTTCATCCAAAAACACCTTTGAAAGAAGAAACTGTTATTTGTCAATACTTGGAAAAACCAGAAAGTAGTTCTGAAAGCCATAAAGATATTGCTGAGAAGTTAGGATTTTTACAATATATAGATAAAACTTCTTCTTTTTTGAAAGGAGAAGCATCACTTTTTGAACAAGCTATATTAAATTATTTTAGGAACTGTATGATAGACTCAGGATTTACAGTTTTCTGCAATCCAAGCTTTTGTCGGAGTGTTGTAGCAGAAGGATGTGCAGATATGGAAAATGTTTTTACTATAGCCGAGTCTGAACATTCTAAAGAAAACCTAAACCACTTGCATTTATCTGGAGGTGCAACATTGCTCTCTTTCATGGCTTATTTTACAAAACATACACTTTTAAGCACTCAGTTACCACTTAAATATTTTGCTGTAGGTAAAAGATACAGAAATGTAGATCCTGAAAAAACTGATGACTTGTTCAACTTGAGTCAAGAATCATCCTTGAACATTTTTCTTGCAACAGCTGATAATGAGCTTGTAGACTTAGACTGTGTATTAAAAGATGTGAAAGGTTTCTATCAGAAGCTTGGTTATCACTTCAGGATGGTGCTTTTACCAGCTAATAGGATAGAAAAATCTGAGAGTTTACATGTTTCTATACAGATGTATTCCAATCATTTGAATGGGTATGTAGAAGTTGGAAATATTTCTAGTTATGACAGTTATTTAAGCAAGAGGTTGATATTTACTTATAACGACCAAAGCAGCAAAGATAGAGCGTTTCCCAAAATTATTGCTGGAACGGTGCTGAATGTTCCAAAAGTATTGGGTTGTGTTTTGGAAAATAGTCCTGATAAAAACCTGTTATCAGATGTGTTGAATAAATATTTGTTTCATTGAAAATAAATAGTTTATTTGAAGTTTTTTTTTTACCACCAAGCACAATGCAATACAAGGTCTCAATAAACATCAAGGAGTGGTTGTAAAGGTGCATGCTCATTGAAAGGAAGGGAAGCAAAACTTGCAGGGTTTCGAAATATGAGGGTGAATCAAATACGAACCGGACTTTTATTTTAGTAATTTTATTGGTATAGTAAATACAAGTGTATTTACATCTTATTTTGGTACATAATCTCGTCTCTTATTGATGCATTTTTTCCATCAGATCGGAGTTTTTTAATTCCCTCATCAAAGAATGAAGCTGATCGTGTCAGTGCACGAATATTTAGTCATCAAAGTGGTGGAGCAGAATAGCACTTCGAATAGGCATTTCTCGCAGATAGGCCAGTTTCGCTAGCAGTACACCTCTGGAATCCCAAAATACCGTTGCAAGAACTTTTCATGCAGAAAGACGGGTCTTGGCTTTTGGCGGTGCTGCCTCTCCAGGCTTTCGCCACTCCATGAAACATTTTTTTGCCAGTCGAATACTTCCATCCTTGAAACTCTCTTATCCCCGAACTGTGCTGATAATCGACGCAAAATTTCGGAAGGTTTTACGCACTGCCGTGACAAAAGTTTTATGATAGAACGTGTATGTATGTGAAATACACTCATTTCATAAATACATTTTAAAAAATACAGGGTGGGCCAAAAGAAGCTGACCTATTTTAAACTTTAATAAATTTTTTATTTATTAATATCTGTTAATGTAGTTTTTACAAAAATGAAATATATTTATTGGATTTTTTTTTGTATCAAGTATAAAAAATAATGTCGCGTAAGTGACGGTCATTTTCTCTTTCACACACAACATTCCTTTCCAAGACATTGTCCATAACTGCCTCCAATGTTTCCCGATTTATGGCTCGAATTTTCATTATGATATTGTCCATAAGTTGTCTTAAGGTTCGAGGTTTATTGCGGTAAACTCTTTCTTTCAAATATCCCCATAGATGAGAATCTGGCGCGGTTAAATCAGGGGAACGTGGGGGATATTTCAATTGCCGATCTTTTTGAAATCAGACGTTCTCCAAAGAAGCCTCTTAGCAATGCCATTGTGGCTCCAGCTGTATGAGCTGTGGCTCCATCCTGTTTGAACCATTTATCAGGTCTATTTTCAAGCGGTGGAATCAAAAAATTTTCAAGCATAGCTCTATACCTCTCGCCAGCAACAGTCACCGCAGTTCCATCGTGATTTTGAAAGAAATAAGGCCCAATAATACCCTGGGTGGTAACACGACACCAAACCGTACATTTAATGTGGTGTAATTCTCTCTCGTGTACAGCCCTTGGATTTTGCCTTCCCCAATTCTTGCATTTTGCGTATTGACAAAACCATTCAGATGAACATGCGCCTCATCTCACTCATTATTAGACGATTTAAAAAAAATTCTCCCTCTCTAACCAATTGCTGAAAACGAATGGCATAATTTAGTCGTTGTGCATAATCTTGTGGTCGTAAGTGCTGAATTTTATCTACATGCCTAGAAAGACATTTTTTGATAGAAGTGAATTACTAAATCACTGATTTGCCCTTGAAATAGGAATTTCGACGCTAAGCTTAATTAATAAAATCCGCCATTTCGTCATAAAATTGGCTGCCAAACCGAATCCAACGAAATCGCATGTCAAAATCTATCAAGCCCTTTGGCCTGTAGTCCCTAAAATATTTTTTTTGGAATCATACATTGGCACATTGCTAGAGCAATAAGGTTGTTATCGATTTGATATGAGCATCTTCAACATCCCATCAGAGCTGCGTATCGTCTGTATCGCGAAAAGCCGTCTGATGGAACATAGTTGAAGACCTAGACAGCCCCAAATGTTGCAAATTTAGGAAGAGGTAAACTTGTGTTTTTAAATTGAACAGGGACAACTTTAAACAGTGTTTACAAACAAAAAGTGACAGAGCAGAACTTGAAATTCATTACCAAAGGAATAGTGAGTATTTTTCTTCAATTATTTATCGTTTACGTGTTCGGTGTTATTAGCTTCGGTATTGCAATCGTAGTTTGAAAATTAAAGTGCCAATTTTTTCTACTATCGACAGGAAAAGTACATGTTACTGCTCGCAGTCTGACCCACCCAAGTTTACGTTACCAATGACCAAATGTATTGAAACTGTCCTGTTTCAGAGCTACAATGTAGCAAAAACGTTCGCAACAGGATGTGCACTTGTAGCAAAACGCTTACATTCAAATAACTATTTTTTTAGGATAGAGATAAGGTAAGCTGCTAAAAAAAGGAGAGGAATTTGTTTCATTTTTTATTGTTTCGATACCTTATTAACAGTTCAATTACAAATATAGAACTGAATTCCTGTTAACTTAAATTATTATTGGCTGGAGCCTCAAATAACTATTTTAAAAAACTACTGAAAAATAACTGAGAAAAATTACATAAATAACAATGATAAAACTAAATTTACAAGTTGTTTTAATAGTAGAACACACATCGATTTTACATTAAAGATTTGGTGGATGTTAATCGCATATCGTGGCAGCTGAAATTCGCAGCTACTATAAGTTCCTGGGTATTATTTTTCACAATGTTACATTTAGTAAATTATTTATTAAAAAATTATAGAGTAATATATGGACACTGATAGATAACAACTAAATAACTAGGTAGTTCTTTATACAGCGATTCCAATCGCCACATCTGGAAAACGTAGTTGTTACAGTTCAAAAGCGGAACACTTACACGTGATTGGTATATAGTTTGACATTGACAGATGACATCCACCAATCACGACTGTTCGCGCTACTGAGCGGTAGCAATTTCGCAAGTTTAGAAATGTTTGATATATTTGATCTGATATTTTTCCTAATTTTAGTCAAACATGGCTTGAGAAGCTACCTGCCTAAAAAATGATCTTGATTAGTACTTTTAAATATTGATAGTTCCTTAGTCATTGTCTACCAGTGTTTCGACGAAAATGAGAAAACCTGGACCTGTAAGTAAACCATTGAAACTGATATATTTACCACACAGCCTTTAAATCAAAACAAAATCAGCATCCTCAAAAATTACCTGAGTAGGAAATGTTTTAAGTTAAAATGGTTCACTTGTGGTTCATCTATCACTCTTCAAGTCTAGATTCTAACAATTAGTCTTAGTGAGGGATGAAAGAACGCAACAAATGCAAGTAATGATTATAGTTTCTGAAAGGGTTCAGGTCCCTAAGGGTGCTTTTCGACCCTGAAACTAAAAGTCCGGCGTTCGTTATTTTGGCGTTTTGGTCTCCAATTCACCCATTTTTAAATATTTAACTAACTATACACACATCTATAATAAAAGACACTGAGATACAAAATATGTATAGAAATGAGGGTGCTGCGCTATTTCGCTCACTATAAAAACAAACACTGAAAGAATTTAATATATTATGAGAATTTAATTTTTGTTATTGTGAGAGCGGTGGCATAACACTTCAATTTTTATATATGTTTTGTATTTAGTGTGTACGGGCCATGCGCTCTTAAAAATATCAAGATACTTATTCCAAAATTTGTGAATTTTTAAAGAATTATTTTCAGAAAGCCCTTTATGGTCCCTCACCCGTTCAAAAAACAGCAACCATTATTTTTTTTAAATTATGGAACACTATTTTACCAGTTTTGTTTTAACAACAAAAAGAAGAGTGATAGCGTTGTTGAATGGCAACAGAACAGACTTTTTTAGACGTTCAAGTTAAAATTGGGAAATGCAATGATCCAATATAGTGCACGCATTTGGTAATCTTATACAGTATGTCCCAATACAAATATTAATTTTTTGGTACTAAATTCATTCAAAAATTAACATCCAAATAGGATGGCAATGGTTTAAGCAAATTAAAAATAATAATAGGAATCATTAAATTCAGGTGTCAAAAAATATTGGCACACTGAAAAAACAAACAAGTAGGCCCCAAAAAGTAAAATTTCTACCAAATGACAGCCACAAGATGATCTTATGCAGAAATGGGACCAAAAATAACTCAGAATCTCCGTGCCTCGATTTTAGGCCATAATTCATGCAAATTGTATGATAACAACGTACTAACTGTAAATAAAATTTGTTAACACTTATTTACTTGTTAGTTTTTTCAGAGTGCCAATATTATTTCACCCCTGAATTTCATAAATCCTATAATCATTCTTATATTATATTTAATTTGCTCAATTTATTGCCATCAAAAATTACTATCTGGATGCTAGTTTTCAAATAAATTTAGTATCAAAAAATTAATATTTTTGTTATCGAGATTCAAGAAAAGAATAAAAAACAAAATATAGTAGACTCGGCCCTCATTTTGTATTGTAAAAATGCATTGGATTGGATTGATCACTTGCATGACTCAACTTGTAAGGCTGCCGATTGCTCGCTTCCGATGAACGCCTCCAACAATGACAGTGCTAAATACATACCAGTTAATTTTTTTGATATTTGTGTTTTTAAGTAGAAGTCCGTAAAAGTCTGATCTGAGTAACCAATCATACCCAAGGCCGCTAATCGAACGAATTATCACAAAAATACGAATCTTTCGGGCCTCTGCGGTACGCTTGGTCACCTGATTCAAACAGATGAGTTGTCGGTTTCAATTGCATGTGTCGCACGTATTGCACCGTTTAAATGCGGCTAAAAGAATGAGACAGACGATGAGTAAGTTCCTAATCAATAGGATACGACCGCATTTTAAACTAGCAAACATCCACATGAACGTCAGCTTCGCGATCATAATCATATACGACGTACACTACTAGTCAAAAGTAACACATCCTCCGATCGTGATGTATGTACAACTTTATATGAAAGTATGTATTTTTGACATACACCATATCCACATCCTGGTGAATTCAAAATCCATCAGTTGTGAGTAGGTTTTCGCGCCGCGTACGTAGTGATATTACAAAAATCCAGTGAACATTCTTTATGCCTTCCGAGGTGCAGTAGCTAGCTACCCTGGATTGTATGGTGTTTAGAAAATGAAAACGTTGAGTTTATGAAAAACTAAATTTGATCTTGGAAACTAGTTCTTCCCAAACCTCTTGCGCTGGATCTCAGAATAGCAGAACTTGTTAGGTTTAGATAATAAATGAATGTCAATCACCACTGAATTGTTTAGATTAAATCTATAATAAACCAAAACAATCTTTGCAAGCAATACTTCTGACTTGTAGTGTCACAGACCAGTCAAGCATATATTTTTATTGAGACCGTTTTGTTACGGCATTGTACAGCTAAACTCAAGTTTTTCGCATGAAAGAAATAGAAAAATTACCTCAATTATGGTTTACATCATATATACAAAAAATGACGCCAGTAACTTGCTATGAGGCGTATTAATGAAAAAATTTTTCCCCAAAGCAATTTTTGGACGATTTTGTGTGGAATATTGATTATCTATGATGCTATTATGAATCTACAATGTGCTTATAGCTATGACAACATGATATCAATAACAATATTTACAACAAAGATGAGAGAATACTAGTAATGAATCGAAATAATATATTGTATACATATTTATTATTAATATCTACTTATAAAGCTTTTTATATTTCTATCGTAGACCCCTCTTACGTATAAATCAAAAAGATGGACTGTTCACCATACAACCTAAAAACGAGAAATCAAAGATATATACACATAATATTTTTCTATCATCTCCATGGCAAAACATTTGGTTTAGCTGTAATAATTTTCTGAAGGTGACTTCGCAAAAACCATATCTAATTTAATATTAACGGAAAAAATTAAATATATCAATTCAACAATAAAAATCTAAGGATGACTAGCCACACTGAACTCTTGCTACATTACAAAAGATAGAAAAACAAAATTATTGTGTATGTATAATGTAGCAGAGTCTAAGCAACCTTTGGCAACAATTTTCGATAGATTCTTTCCAGGCTTTCAGATATCACAACTTATATTAGTTATAATAGAATGGGGAGTTACGCTCAAGTCCAAAATCAATCTATCGAAACTCAACATATGTTGCATAAAAAAATCAACCTGGAAGTTTCATGCGGAATAGTCAGCATAAATCTCGAGATTTTGAATCATAATCGAAGGCACTAGTGGATAAAGCTGTCATGTAACAAAATCATTGCATGGAGAAAAACATACTTTTTATTGAGACTTTATTTTATTGAAATTTGAAATATTTACTTTTATTAGTTTGTAATTATCTTGTTTTTGAAACAAAGTAATCACAGAATGAAAGAATCACTCTCTAAAGTTCGTTTAATGCAAAAAGCAATTTTAAAAAAATGTTACATGACACCTTTATCTACTTGTGTCTTCAATTGTTCCTGAAATTCGAAAAATCTGACTTTTGATAAACAACTTTTGTTGAAATTTTATTTTCTAATACCATAACACCAAAATACGATGAAAGCACAATCTTGGCGACAATGGTTCCACGGATTCGTAATTAAATTCAATTGATCAAAATAGGGCCAGCCGCTAACTGATCAATCAATCGATGATTATTGTTCCAAAATTTGAAGCATTTGCGACATCTAAGGGCGGTATCGTCAGTCGTTTCTACAACTGTAGGACGCCTTTGTGGCCCCTTGATTTTCACAGTTTTTCTCTCATGCAGAAACGCTGTGGTATTTCTACTGTTCCGTGAATTGTAGGAAATTTTAGGCTGATATAACATGATATAACCCGACCGGACAGACCTATTGACCTACGATACTTTAACAAAGAGCGAAGGTCCCACGGACCGCTCTGACGGACAATGACGAATAGAATAGAACGGATGATATAAATCAAAAGCATGAACATTTTTATGCAAATAGTTATTTGAAACATAACCCCTCAAAATAGAGCGCTGACACGGAACAGTAGAGAACTATAAAATCAAGGATGTCAGCTTTTCATGTCCTTCAGACAGGCGCTTTATTTTGAGGTTATGTTACAAATATCTATTTTCATCAAACTGTTAATGCTTTTGATTTTTATCATCTGGTTTATCAGACTGAAATTTCCTACAATTCAAAAAGAAAGCATTATTTTTTTATTTAAATAGGAGAGCGCTGATACGGAACAGTAGAAATCTAGAAATACCCCAGCCTTTCTGAAGAAGAGAAAAGACTGAAAATCAAGGAGGCCATAAAGGCGTCCTACAATTGTAGGAACGACTGAAGATACGGCCGTAAGTTTCAACGACCCAATTAATATCTGGTTACATTGATTTTACTATAATTGTACCAATTGGAGCGTTGGTATTGCATCTCGAGGAAAAAGTAAGTGAGATTATGTAACATGACAAAATGAAAGCATCAGTCTAAGAGAGGGTATCATATCTACGCTGTTGCTTTCTTAATTTTTTTTCTGCTCGTCTCACTGATAAACAGATCACTGTAATAAATTTAATAACCATAAATCAACAATCGCAAAAGTAGTTTTATTTTCGGCTTTGGGTAATTTTGGACAATTTTGAACTAAACTGGAAATGCTGCAATGTCGCAAAGAGGATCTTAAAACGTTCAAGGATTCGTTAATTTTAAATGTCACAGACTGTTTTAAATTTTGGCAATATTTTTCGTTATATTACAAGTAATTTCTTTGACTTTTTTAGTTTCTTTCTTGCTTTTGCCTTTGCTATGGAAGCATTCTAAGCCGCCATTCATCAGGCATGATTTGACACTTAAATTTCCTTGAATATCTCTACTTTAGGATCCAATAACTTGACGGATCATACAATTCTGACTATTTCACATGGATTACAAAAAGGTTCACGCCGCATATTCATAACCTCGATCTGATCACTTCAGGGGTTTACAATTTACACTCTTAGAAATAAAATAATACAGCCTGATTTGCATTCACTCGTTCACATTTCGCACAAGATGCACACATACTATAATAGGGAGAGGACGGCCATTTTGTAAGTTGCGGCCGACGCGTTTTCCCCCATCTCAATTACTTGTTTTTATTTTTTTGTTATTTCCTTATTTTTTTTATACATATCCGTTCACGGGTAGATAAAGTAAATAATAAATTCGTAATATGCTCACTTATAATAAAATTTAATTTTATATATAAAAGAGTCAATGCCGTGATCTGGAGGCATTTCTATAATTGTTTTTATTATTTTTTTTAACCAACCAGATGCGGAGTTAGTTGTTTTATTTTTTGCCCAGTCGATTCAATTGGGTGAGGACTGCGTTAACGGTTGCCTAGAAACAAAAATAAAAAAAATTAGAAACAGATATCACGAATTTTTGGGGATGCAAGCAAAGAGGCTTTTTGCGTAAAAATAACGTTTATCTTTCGGAATGGTTTGTGATCGAACCCTGTGAATTGCTCAATAAACTAGTAGTGATGGCCGGAAAACAGGTGTTTTGGGATAAGCAATTAGAAATTCTCAAAAAACTACTTGACCAATATAATTCAATTTTGTTGTTATTTAGAAGTATGAATCCTACGGATTTGAAGAATTTCAAGAAGTTGCGTGACATTATCGTCACATTACCAAGTGCCAAAACCTGCATTTTGCCTCGTTTTTCGGCCATATTTTTGATATCAGTCTTATCTTTTTACATGTGGTCTCATTTTGTAGGTCTTATAAATACCTAAAAATCCCCGTTCCTGTCAACATTTTCGATTGAATCCTAAAAACACGTTTTCTCATTCTTTGTTGTCAAATAAAAAGTTTTCCCACAAAAATTGGTGTACCCATTTTATGCGTCCATGTTTTAAATACCTCTTTGAACAACTTGCACCAATAAAACCAGACTTTACAATTATTCCGGAGAAATTTGTTAATATGATTAGGCTAATAGTTCATTACTGAAATACGAGTATTACATTGGAAGTTGTCCGTCTTTGTGCAACTTTTGGAAGACTTATCTACCGTTTTATGTAGGTACAAGTCTTCTAGATTGCTCATTCTGTTTTCGGACCAATTTATTCGTTGGCTTTTCCTTATTTACTAAACGGTGTAGAGCATCCTGCCAATAATTTCCTTCAAAACAAAGGAATAATATGATTAGGCTGTCACTTTCACATTGTTTATAAATGATAGTGCTTTGGCATCATTATTATTAGTATGAAGCAATGACAGGTGTCTGCAAGTTTTTTTGCGAAGAGCTGAACTTATAACGCCACAGTGAGTGTTCCACAATAGTTAATAACAAACATAAACAAATTAGACATACAGAATTAAAACCAATACAGCGTGAAGTTTTATAATATTTATTCACTGCAACGAAAAAAATTGTACAGCACAATAAAACGAAAACCTAATTTTTTTTCGTTACTTTAGAGAAAAAATCACAACAAAATAAAGAATGTAATGTTACTGTAAATTTTTATCCAAACAATAAAAAATACATGTTACAAAGTAATCGCATAAAAATAAATAATAACTGGCCGACTCAGTGGCCTCTGAGGATTTTAGCTACCTCAGGTGACATGAGGTGTTTTTTACTTTGATTTGTACCTTTAGCAGAACTCAGTTTATTCTTATCATCGTCTTTTTTGTCTCGCAGCGCTGAAAAGAGGGTTAAAATCATCATCTACAACATTAAACGTACAGCTGAACATTATAATTTTTTGCAGTTCCTTAGCTTCGATCTATTTCTATTCCAGCATAAAAGAAGTGAGCTTTATTTTATCAATATCAGTATCACTATAATCCTAGGAATATTCGAGTAATAGACTGGAAACTAAGAAACACTTTATCCAACATTACTCATTATCCTTGATGTGATATCACTAAACATAGAGGTTATAATGTAATAAATAAACACCCGAATGCTGTTGGAAGATAAAGAAAATCATATACTTATTGCTCAGGAAACTATTTAATAATAATAGTAGGACAGTGAATGTATAATGATGGATGAAACTAATGACCTAGCACAATTGCTGCTTGGAGCTCTAGTATCGCAATTCCATACCCCCGAAAACCCAACTAAAAAATAAGTATGGTTACGTAAAATGCTAAAATAAATGTGTCATTCTAAAGGAGGTAACATATTTACACAATTTTAATGGTTTTACTAATATCAGTATACCTTATCTATTAGCACTCGTAAGTTGAGGCAAAATTTGGAAAAGTCAAATTTACAATTGCATCAGATTTTTTTGTGATATTGGATGCAAGGTATCTGGGGTGGAGCCAACTGATAATATATCAATGAGAGGCAAACATATAAAAGCAGCAATGTAAATCTGATTACCTTTGTTACACCGATACAGTTTGGAAACTTTTCCTGACTGTCAGTTTTTTTTATCGAAATTTCATACTCGTGCTCTAAGCGGCCTTGTTCAACACAGTCTCTACGATATGATTTTACATATAAGTCTGAAGTTCACCTTTAGGCCCGGATTTTCAATCGCAGGTCAACTGTATTTTCACCGCTTAATGGAAGTTAATTCCCAAGCAGCGATTTTCAATGTCAAGTTTGACTTACATACAATGGCATTGTATAACTTATTCTGCTTGACAATATCATGTGTTCTCAAAGACGACACAAGACATAAACGTCAAAGTTCAGAAAAGGTTTCCAGCAACTTTTATGAGTTACTTAACCAGAACTTGAAAAACGGCAGCGCTATTATGTAAAAAACGACAAAATGTCACTTTTCACGGACTACTGATAGCTAACTTCAAAGTTATAGTTACGTAACCCGAAGTCAACCTGCGATTGAAAGACTGAGGCTTAAGGACGCATCATTGTCAAGAAACCAATTTTCCTTGAGACGATAAGTTTATGAGAAGTACCCAAACTCTGAAATATGGTAAAATGTAGATTTGGCCAAGATACTTTTTAGGGTAGGTCATATTCTGGGAAAACTAACATAGTATAGGCAAACCAATAAACTATTAGTACATTTTTGAAAAATCGAACTATCTCCGAGAAAGTGCTTGCCATTGCACAAATTTTAACTAAGCTATTTTTATACTAAATAATCATTTTGGTCATCAACCACCGCTGTATAGTATTGGATCATCAAAAACGGTAAATACACAAAAGAAGATCGTTTTACTGTTCTAACTTCAGGTTGTCGGCACACATAAGGTGCATCGAATCATCGAACGTTGAATTGCCGTTAAGGTTACGTGTTCACCTCTATCAAATTTATTAACAGGCATAATTAGATTTTGTATACAGAAAAAAGTTGATATAGATATCATTAACGAGAAGCATGATGTAAAACCGTTCATTGAAAATTTTGCTCGTTTTCGAGCATGTGACTAGGTTATTACTGTATATCACGTTTTGAGAGAAACATAATTGCAGACAGGCTAAATATAATTAATCGAAAACTCGGTAGGGACAAGTAAAGATACGATGGAAGCACATTGTAATGAATCATTGATATGGAAATGGTGTGGCTGAATGGAGGTTATTGTAAAAAAATGTGACGTGACATGAGGTCAATAGCACTTTAAAATGTATGCATGCTGAACTGGGAAAAACAACGACGGTCATGTTTTTCCTAAAACGTGAATTGTGGATTTCTCAACCAACAATTAACGCGGATTATCCGATTTAAAAATAGCCGTAGAAATATATGTAGGAGATTATATTATACTTTAAAATTTAGGTGTATAACTCCAATAATTGCTATTAAAATACGCCTATATGGTCATTTATTGTTCAGGATTGCCTTTGCAAATCACTTGATTAAACCTTTCCACTAAATGTATGTAATTTTAGTAGTGAAAAATTACGCATCATCGTACGATAGATTGAAAGTTAAAGTTAGGAAAAAACAGGAAGAGAAAACTCAATACCAGTGAGATTCGACGTCATGGCCTTCCACATTTTACGTGGACGCATTGACCACCCAGTCATTTTATTTGTACTGTTTTGGTACGACTGAATATATGTATATATATATATATATATACAGTATTGGACAAAAGTATATAGACAAATTAATATTGTGCTGTATTTCTTTTTTAACCTGTTTAATTAATACACCAACCTGTATACATAATTTGTTATAGCATAATACTCACTTATACATAAATAAATTCATTAGACTCCCTTCAATAAAAAATTAATTAAAAAAAAAAAACTGGAGCTATGAAGGACAAAAATATATAGACAAAGCAAAACAATTATAGAAAAAAGAAGCAAAGTTCATTGAATTATAGAAAACCAACCATGTTGGTGTTAATACAGGGTGGCCCATAAGTCCTTTAAGCTGGAAAAAAAAGGAATAAAACCAAACTAGTTACATTATGAAGAATTATTATATTTTGTTATCATCTTTATTGAATGGGAATTATGTTTTAAAAATCACATCGTCTAAATGCAATCCATTACGATCACGGCACTCATATAAACGACGTCTAAAATTGTCAATGACTGCGCGGCAAGTCAACACTGTAATGCTTGCTATTTCTCTTCGGATATTTTCTTTAAGGACATCAACTGATCGCGGAGTGGTGTCGTACACTTTACTCTTGAGGTAGCCCCATAAAAAGAAGTCCATTGGGGTCAAATCTGGACTACAACACATTATTGAGCGAAGAAAATAGATTCAACATTTCATTCGCAAAGTTTAGTCTCTGAATAGCATCATTATCTTTTAATTCCTGCACTAACTGAATTTTGTAAGCGTGCAGACGTAAATCTTTCCTTAAAATCAGCTGTAAAGATGTTCTGGGTACGTTTAGTGCACTGGAACGCTTACAAGTAGACTGGGTAGGATTTTGACGAACAGACTGTGCCACAATGTTGATGTTTTCTTCAATACGAGTTGTCCTTGGTCGACCCCACCGCTGTTTATCTAACGTCGAACCAGTCTCTTCGAACTTAGCAACCCAGTTCTTAATCGTTTGAGCTGTTGGACACTTTGTAAAATTGTGTAAATTGTGGTATTCTCGATATTTACGCCGCGCAATGGTTGCCGAATCATTATTTTCATAAAACGCGCGCACACAAAAAGCACGATCCGCTCCAGTGAAACACTCCAGGGCGACTGAATTCCCAGACACTGAAGATACTGTCCCCACCTCGCCCGCGCCGCTCACGCTCACCCGTTAAATTTTATTCAAATTTGAAATTTCAAAGGACTTATGGACCACCCTGTATTTTGTAGCATAACCATTATTATCAATCACCGCCTGGCATCGTCTCGGCATAGATTGTAGAAGTTTCTTGATATAAGATTCATAAATCTGTCTCCACTTTTGCTCTAAAGCGGCAAAAAGTTCATCCTTGTTTGAATAATTTTTATCTCGTATTTGCTTATCTAAGTATACCCATAGATTTTCAATGGGGTTTATATCGGGAGACTGTGAAGCTCATTTGAGAACTGGTATTTTTTCATCCAGAAATAATTTCTTTGCGAGATTTGAAGTGTGCTTCGGGTCATTATCTTGCTGGAAGGTTGATCTTAAGGGCATATTGTCTGCCATATAGGGTAACATGACATGCTTTAGTATGTCTGTGTATACAAACTTATCCATAATACCATCTATTCTATGTGAAGGACCCATCCCAAATCCCGAAGAGCACCCCCAAACCATAACAGACCTGCCTGCCTTTATTGGAAAGAGTTTATGCAAAATCATTGTCGAATCCTAAAGTTAGATATATCGGGTTTTCCAATAGAGACTTAACAACTTTGAACTTTCACGGTCAACGCACTTTTAAATCAATTACCGAACTGTCAATGTCAAAACATTCGAACAACAACGCTTAAAAATAATTAAAATTTACTACAGAAATTCCGAGTCGGTGACTGCAACTTTAAGAGCGTTAACGTCAATTTTTGCTCGTAATTCTCGTCCCAGTAGACAAGCAATTCATAGTACAGTAAAAAAAATTGAGTCCACATATTCGCTGGTGGATGTTCCCGTGCCAGCGAGAAAACGGGTTGGTCGCAGTGCCGAGAATATTGCTGCCGTTCAAGCTTCCGTCGTAAACGAACAGAACCCGTCGATTCCACGGCGTTCTCAAGAATTGGGCATCGCTCAGACCACACTATGGTGAATTTCGCAAAGAGATCTTGGCCTGCACCTTTATAAGATCAAGTTAACTCCAGAACTAAAGCCGTTCGATCATATGAACCGAAGTACGTTCTCGAATTGAGCTCTAGAAATGTTACAAGAAAATGACCAATTTCATCGCAAAATCATCTTCAGTGACGAGGCGTATTTTTGGCTGAACTTCAACAAACAGAATATGCGTTATTGGTCAGGTGAAAACCCTCATGTGCTTCAAGAAACACCACTTCATCCACAAATCGAGAAATGGCCGTGACGAATAGCCGCCTAGATCGTGTGATTTGACACCTCTAGACTGTTTTTGTGGGGCTACATTGAATCACTGGTCTATGCCAACAAGCCTGCGTCGTTAGAGGAGCTCAGAGCCAATATTGAACGAGAGATTTCAGTCGAAATGTGTGGCCGAGCCACTGAAAATTGGGTTCAACGAATCGTTCGCTGCGAACGTGACCGTGGTGGACATATGAACGAGGTCGAATTCCATACATAAATGTTTTAAGTATACTTCAATCCGATAATAAAATTTTCGAGATATCTCAAATAGTATGTGTATTACTTAAAAAGAAAGTCCTTAATGGAAAATCCGATAACAACTGCGCTTGATTTCGTACGAAATTTAGTGCAAACATTTCTTTACGTGCCAAACAGGATTGTAATTGGTAAACAAATTATGAACAACATTTTGTATGGTGACGCCTTTAGAAGCGTTTTCCAAGTAGGAAAAACAAAAAACAATTTCCCTAATTTAGCCTCTTTACTCAGTCCAACAATGAAAAACACACTCATATTACTAAGTAAGCATTTTTGTTTACAAGTTCATGAATGGGGATTATTTATCAGGTTTTGTACCTCTCTGGCCCACTGTGCAATGGTTTCCTCGTTTTTGGCAAAATATGACTGTTTGTCCACATAAGCTTTATTCTCGCGACTTCTGCCTCTCTCCAAAAATAAAAACTGCGCTGATACCAGTCCCGAGAATCAGAGACCTACGACAAAACCGCTGAAAACCACTCCAATAGAAGCCTTCCAGAAATGCTTCCAATCATGGAAAAACCGTTAGCATAATTACACTGCTCCCAAAGAAGATTAATTTAAATTTGATGTAGGCTGACTAATTTCTTCAAAATAAAATTATTCACCGTTTTTGATCATACATACTCGTACAACTGAACCTTTCAATACACCAACTTCCATACATAATTTTAAGCAACCTCTTTTTGAGAAGTGATAAATTAATGGGTTACCGTGACTGGGTGGTCAAGCCTCCAAATTTAGTTGACGTGTTTTTTTATTATACAGGGTGTAAACGTTATGATAATCATTATTTAAATGGGTGATAGAGGGCGTTAAAAGAAGCAAAAAGTTTCATATAACATGAAGTAAAATAAAATCTGACAACGCCGCAATGCCAGACGCAAATTACGACGGAACGCAGTGTAAATAAAGATGGTGTTTGTTATTTTTGGCTCTTAGGTATTATTTCATTATTTGACGATATATATTCGTAAAAAGCAAAGAATAAAAAAAACGGACTTACCACTAACTATCTCAGCGCTTCAACTGGTGTGTGAAAGTTTATTGAACGTATTAAAAACATTAACTTATAAATAGTTACCACAATATCGATACATACATTGTTTTTCTTTTTAAAACACACACTGCACTTTTTTGTATTTTAGAAGGTGTTCAAAATGTCGTCCTCCACTTTCCACACAAGCTTCATTACGACTAACTCAGTTTCTTCTTACTCTAGGTCCTCGAAGTTGTCCATTCATTACTTCAGCCGCATTAAATTTTTTTCGCGAAGTTGTGCGTCAGTTGTTATTGGACCAGTCCCATAAATCATCCCTTTAAGTTTTCCCCAGTACCAGAAATTCATCGGATTGAGGTCAGGAGATCTTGCTGGCCATTTTCGAGGATCAGGAGCATTTCTACCGATCCAGCGATTTGGATAATGTTCATTCAAATACTGAATGACGCCTCTAAAAAAGTGTGGTGGTGCCCTGCCATGAAGAAACCACAAATTCTGTCTCCGATGTAATGGCAAGTTGTCTAAGGTCTGTTCCAAAAGTTCTGGTAGGTGATTGGCTTGAAAGCTAAGGTATCCTTCTCCTGACAACTTTTGGGGTAACTCGAAAGGGCCAATTACTAGATAGTCAAGAATACCCGCCCAAATATTTATTTTAAAACGTTGTTGGAAATGACATTCACGAATGGTATGAGGATTTTCTTGAGCCCAAGTGTGAGTATTATGGAAATTTAATATCCCGTCCCGCGTAAAAGTACATTCGTCCCTCGCTAGAATGTTCATAAATATCCGGATTTTCAATGTTTTTGTGCAAAAACCACTGACAGAATGTTAGTCTGCGAGGATAGTCTTCTGGTAACAAGGCCTGCACTTGTTGTACATGGTAGGGATAAAGCAAATTTTCCCGTAGGATTCTATGGACTATGGTATGCGATAGTCCTACGCGGCGGCCTTAATCCCGAGCTGATATCTGCATTGATTTCCACGATATTTCTCCCTGCAGACATTCGTCAGAAAATTTCTGACAAAAGAGCTGCAATTAAGCAAGCGAAGAGGTCTTGTCACCCAGATGACATTCACAGAGCAACTAATCTTGTTCATGAAGTGAGAAATGCTCTTCATGAATTCCGTAATGAGCAATGGAGCGACTTTCTGTCGGGGATGCTTGACTCAAGTATTCCTCTCTGGAAAGTTGCAAAGTCGCTCAGAAACGGAAAGCGAGAACAACTCCCGCACATCCACGGTCCTAGGGGCATAGTCTGTAGGACAGAGGAAAAGGTCGAGGTTTTCGCTGATGCAATGGAAAGTCAGTTCTCTCCCAACTATGACCTTGATAATGACCTCGACGAGGAGCAACATATTGTAAGATCCGTCAGGAGATATTTTAGGGCCAACGGCGTCAGTGGCAGTAGTGCCTTCCTCAGTGATTTTTCGTCAGAGGAATCTTCAGATGATTCCTCAATTGAAGAGCTGCACGGCACATCAGCGAGATCTCCTGAGACTCCGCATTGAACAACAGCAGAGCTCCAAGGTCATATTAAAGACCTCAAGGTACGTAAAGCACCTGGAGAGGATCGAATCACTAATAAGGCGCTGAAGCTACTTTCGCGGAAGCCTTAACTTATCTCGTGGCAATAATCAATGCCATGCTAAGGACCCAGCACTTCCCAACGGCGTGGAAGACCGCTGATGTCATAATGATTCCAAAGAAGGTGGGTTCGATATTCCCTTAGGATTACCGCCCCATTAGTCTACTGTCAGCTCCTTCTAAGCTCGATGAAAAGGTGATTCTACGTCACCTTGAAAATTTCTCGGCAGACCACAATGTGATTCCTGACGTGCAATTTGGCTTTCGGTCTGAGCATAGTACGGAGCTACAGGCCATAAGGCTTGTTGAACGAGTAACCAGCGGGTTCACCCGTAATGAAAGTACTGGCATCTTGCTACTGGATGTCTCAAAGGCATTTGACAAGGTGTGGCACAAGGGCCTTCTCTACAAATTGATCCATAAGGGCTTCCCCTTCTGGCTCCTAAAACTTTTGAAATCCTTTCTCGAGGGTAGGAAATTTCGGATCAAAATTAATAACGTTCTGTCGACCAAACGCCCATCAAAGCCGGTGTCCCTCAGGGTTCGGTTCTTGGACCAGTCCTTTATTCACTTTTTATTCATGACGTCCCTTGCCCCAGCAGCTGTGAAACCTATCTCTATGCTGATGACACTGCCCTGGTGGCCCAGTCGTGCTCTGGGGATCTAGTTCACGACAGGCTGCAAAGTGCAGTGGACGAGGTATTGGAATGGGCGAATCGGTGGCTGATCAAAATTAATCATTCGAAAACGCATGCAATCTCTTGTACTAAAAAACGTAGCGGCGCCCCGTCTGAGGTTTCAGTGAATGGCGCTCGGGTACCATGGGAAAGCTCTGCTAAGCATCTCAGTATCACTCTTGACAAGGGGATAACCTGGCAGAAGCACACTGAAGCGTTAAAAACTAAATTCCAAATCTCGTTTCGGCAATTCTACCCTATGCTATGTAGAACATCAAAATTAAGTTTGATCAACAAAGTTCGACTATACAAGATGGTTATTAGACCAGCGATCACTTACGCAAGTGCGGCTTGGTGTTTTCTCGCCAAAACGCATTTGCGTAGCCTGCAGGTTTTGCAGAACAGAACCTTGCGTACAATCACTAACGCTCCATGGTATGTTTCCAACGAGACCCTTCACAGAGACCTTGACATCCCTTACCTAAGGGACTACATCAAACAACAAGCGCAGCTACGTTACAGTCAAACAGAATCGCATAACAACCCTTTGTTGCGCGAGTCAGTAGACTACACAGTCGAGCAAGTTCGCAAGCACGACTCGCACTGTGAACAAAATTAAATCGTGCGACTTTAGGTCCAACCAAAATTATAATTTTTCTTCAACAACCAATCCCAAAATTAATTTTAGGATCAATTTAAAATTGCCGAATACTAACTAGCAATGCCAAGGCACCCCTCAAATTGATGCACTTCTTTTTTCTTTGCTCTCCCTCCTTCCTTCCTTCCTTTCTTCTTCCCTTCTTTCTCCCTGACTTTGTTTGGTATCTGGGCAACCAGACCTGACAGACCTACTGACTTACAAGACTTCAACCAAGAGCAAAGGTCCTACGGACCGCTCTGACAGACGATGACGAATAGTTCCACGATATTTAAAATTTGTTCCTCCTGCTCTACAGTAACCTGTCTTTCACGAGTGCGAATATTAGTGGGCTGAACACTTCCTGTATCTCGAAGTCTTTGGTACACTTGCACAAATGTCCTTATGTCTGGGTGTACCCGTTGACGAAATTTGTCGCGATAAATTTGAGCTGCAAGATTTGCATTCTGACGAGCTTCACCGTAAACTAACCACATGTCGGCGAACTCTTGATTCGAGAACATCGTAAATCAACCCGACGACGTACGCTAACAAAAACAAAACAACATACTAACCACTGTTACCGTTTGCGATCGATTGCCGGTTCGATAAGAGTGATGATGACCGACGAGCTGTTGTCATGTGTGTTTTAAATATTTAATGACTACAAATTTTGGCTTAACTTAGAAAAACTTGATGCCATTTATTTGTTAATTACCCAATTTAAAAACGTTTTAGATTAGATTATAAAAATTAGTAAGATTGTGGTCGATATAAAGCACTTAAAGTTGTAAACTATAAAGCCATTTAGATAAAAATCTATTGATTTTTGGACCATGGGTCATATAAACTTCTTGACTTGTTTTGATCCCCCCTATTACCCATTTCAATAATGACTATCATAACGTTTACACCGTGCATACACATAGTTTTGCCATCATACTCTCTTACCGGGCTGTTGCGCCATCCCAGCTGACGTCTGCGGCTGTTGCGCGCCGCTCTGCCCTCCTGGCGTCGGCCCCGTCGTCGTAGTCTGACCGCCACCGCCGCCGCCTACGACGCCGCCGCCCACTCCTCCGGCCGTCCCCGCTTTCTGCTTCAGCATCGTCCAGTCGAACGTGTAGTCGTACTGGTGGTTCAGCGTGCGGAACAAGATGCGGAACAACTGTCGCAGGTACATGTAGTCCGGCGCTTCTTCGAAACGGAGTCCGCGGCAGTAGTTCAGGTACATCGAAAATTCGGCGGGGAAACCCTGGAACAATTGCATAGCTGAATCATTAATGGAATTTTGCAGCGCCTTGCTTCGCTGAAGCTTAATCTGAGGTGAACAGGCCCAGAACCTGCCTTGGCGGTGCTAAAAAGCACAATAAGGAACAAGTCAAAGGATGGGTAAGAGACCAGCACAAGGAATATTTGCACTTAGTGACTGGATGCAGGCATGCGAAAGGGTTTATCTCAGGACCATGTCCGAATAAGACTGCGGAACTGCTATCAATGAGTGGAAACTATCTCCGTGTAGTTACAGAACCTCTAGCCTGACACAATATAAGGAGAGAACACCTGAGCAAAAAAAGGGCTGCACGATTCACAGTATTTGTACAATTTCTGGATGTTCAAGCGAATACTCGTAAATTGAAAAAAGAAAACGACAAAAGGACAGTGGTTTAAAGTCCTTAAAAATTAAGTGTACATACTGAAACTATTCCAAAGGCAACACGGTTCAAACACATACACACACATATGTATATATTACTTTTTTTACCTATAAGTTTGTGTTACCATGTGAGTCAAAAGTCATGTAGTATGCATAAATGAACTATCAAAGGTATGCCATTTATAGTCATGGATTCATTTACAACACAACAACGCATTTTGGTTATCCAAACTTATTACGAAAACGGTCGAAATATGAAAAATACTTTTCACAAACTTCGCACTAGTTTTGGCCGACATGGACGCCCTACAGAGCCTGGAATTCGTTGGAAAGTTACTCGTTTTGAGGAAATTGGTTCAGCTGAAGGTCGTATACCATACCAACATGCTCGTCCAGCTCGTACTCGTGAAAACATAGCCGCAGTGAGTGAAAGTGTTCGAGAAGATCCAACCATCTCGACTAGGCACCGTTCGCAACAATTGGGAATTAGCGAGACCACTTTACCGCAGATTTTGCACATTGATTTACACCTCTATCCATACAAAATCCAACTAACTCAAGAATTGAAGCCGGCAGACAATCAACAGCGGCGTGTTTTTCTTAAATCGATGCTGGAAAGAGAAGACGGATTTTCGGTCAAAGTGCTCTTTTTTGATGAGGCTCATTTTCACCTCAATGGGCACGTAAATAAGGAAAATTGCAGATTCTGGGGGGGCTGAAAATCCACACCAATATCACGAACAACCTCTCCATCCTGAAAATGTGACTGTTTGGTGCGGATTATGGGCTGGTGGCATCGTTCGACTATTCTTCTTTGAATATGCCGAAGAAAAGGCCATTACCGTCAACGGGGAACGTTATCGCGGCATGTTAACAGACTTTTTGTGGCCACAACACATCTCGCCAAACAATCGTCTTATTGCACACTAAATTTCAAGACCGCATAATTTCACGAAATTCAGATGTCAGTTGGCCCCCGAGATCGTGCGATTTAACACCTCTTGACTATTTTCTTTGGGGATTTTTGAACGGAAAAGTGTATGCGAATGGTCCCAGGACAATTCAAGACCTAAAGCGCAATATTCGGACTGAAATTGCGGCCATAGACCCGATTATTCTGGGAAAAGTTATTGAAAATTTTGATGTTCGGATGTTCGCCTGTAAACGAATCCGCGGTAGTCACATGACTGATGTTATTTTTCATACATAAATGGCATAAACCAACCTTCAATTATCAATAAAAAAAATTCGATTTTACCTCGTAAAAAGCGTGTTGATTTTTCAAATAGAAAAAAAAGTAATAGATGACGGTGATACTTTTATATAGGTAAGTTTTTGTTATTTGGGAGGTCAGTCTTAAGCCTATCTTCTCCTTAAGTTTGTCGTCGTACTTATTGGATATTATATTTTATTGAAAATCAAAGTTTTGATGTTATTTTTTTAGTATGATTAGGTGAAACTTATACTTATAATATTTTATTGATATTTTGAATACGTGATTTTTATATTTGGTTAGTTCTTTTGATATAGGGCTGTATATTAGTGGACCCTGGAACATAAACGACGGGTAGGCAATTTGAGTATTTTTGTTACTTGTATTATCCACAGGGTACTTATAAAAGTTTTGCAATATGTTGAGATATGTGCATGGGTGCATAGTATCCGCCTGCAGCACGTCTGCTGATTTAATTGTTCATTCGTATTGACAGTGTAAAGTGCGGAATATGGCATCGTGGGAATTGAAAAGTGTGTAATCGTTTAACAGTCTCGTTCTTTTCTCTCCAAGTGAGGGCATGCGTTGTTCTATTTTCTAATACATGTTTATATTCCGATACAATTTTCAGCAATCAAGATTTTTTTTGGCGGGAAAAAGTGTGGGTTTTTGTTTCTGCAAAACTCATGAAACAAATCTGTGATAAATGAATATTTCACACACGTAAAAAATTAGGATTTCTGGCACGATGATATGACAGCACCAAAGTGGTGTTCACTTGAAGCGTCGATTACTTATAAAATGTCTTTCAATATCGAGAGAAATTATACCCTTTGTGTAAGATGGGCCCATAATTCCCATATTGAATCAAGAAATACGTCATAAATCGCAAGGTTTAGCTAAAAAAACTTATTTTTTCATTTGCATCCGGAAACTAAATTAGCGGCTACGATCATCTAATGCACAAATGTAAATAAGTACTATTCGTTTAACATATAAGAAAACATGCTGTTTTTAATTTATTTATATATTTATTTTGATTGAATTTGATTATTAAATGTAAATATATAATTACCAAATTGAAGCATTAGATGCTGAAAATATTTACTTTTGTGCTATTTATGTGAATTTCAAGATATGAACAAATTATATTATAAAATAAAATCCGGCATTACTGCGTTATTTCTTTGAAAAAATAATATAAATAGATTTTGAACACTACGAAAAAAGGCAGTAAATTTGTTTTTGCAGAGTATAAAAGCAGTAAATCATGTGGTTTGATGCTTTTCAATTTACGACAATTAAAGACGGAATGTAATTTGTTTTAGGCCTCGACAACAACTATGATCTAAAATCTAAAGATAAAAAGTCATGTAACTTTAGAATAATTCATTCACTTTTTTCTCTCGTAATAATACTATGTATTTAGTTCGAATAAATCCATAATTTTGAACTCGATTGTTAATCGGCTAGAAAAACCTCTGTCATAATTTGGATATACTTTTCACTGCTTCGACAACAGGAAACATGATATTTTTTATTAATTAGGAAAATACAGTAAATTATCAGATAGTACACATCACTGATATAAATCACCTAGACATGTTTACACTGCAAACAAAGCAACATGCATACAAAACTGATGTTGCTAAAACATGCAAGTAATCAACTAACGCAGATTACGCTGTTTTTATGAACGATAAACTCATTATCTTTGTTGTTCGATTACACGTCGCGTTTAATCAATGTCGCTTTGCAACCATTCAATCCGAACAGTCATCCTTTAATCGTATCTACAAATATTGTACAATAGCAACTATCTCATAATAACCACATACCACAATGAAAATGAGTTTCATTCAAATGGTGTTCAAAACTAAATGAATCATAAGATAAACCATCATTAATGATTAACAATCAAAACAATAAAGGCAATCTTAATTGTTTACTATCTATATCGCCTCCAGGTTGATAGAAAGATACATTTAGCAATTTGACGGAAGCTGTCAAAGCTCTCTGAATATCAGTGATTTCTATCGAAATGTTGAATACAGTCGTGAAAAAACGGTTGACTTATAAATAAGGGTGTATTATAGATGTAACAGTATGTCTTTGTGCTTTAGAATTAGGATAACTTTCATAGAATTTCAAATTTTTATCATTTCACAGTTACTACACATCAAGTAGGTGCTTAATGGATATCTGCATGAGGTTTATAGGAAAAAACACACGGTAGGTGAGGTTTATAGGAAAAAACACACGGTAGGTGATGTTTAATCGGTAAAATCGCATATCAATTGAAGAAAATAATATAAACATGAATAAACTATCGACAATATTAAATAAAAACATGAACTTTACTCAAAAATCGAACACTTTTTTAAATTTTGACTAAATGATATGTAATTTCTTAATATTCAATAAGCTGGTGGTGTTTCAATGACAAGCTGTCATCTCATACTTTGACAGTATTGTTTTCAACATTTCATAGCTACTGGTTGCTGAAATTTGTTGATTGGAACTTGAAGCTCATTCGCTGTATTTGACGGACTGTTACCCTATAGCTGGAGAATAACGGACTGTTGATTTGACAATCCTGGTGAAATCCACCCTTATTGTCTTCTGATATTAATAAAAAAAAGTTAAATATAAAAATTGTAGCTATCAATATGCTCCTGATTTGGAAAATATTTTTATTTTTACAGGGTGATTCATAACTATGAGATGACCCATACATTAACTGGAAAGATCTGCATTTTGACATAGGAGACAATCTATTGAAAAAAAAACACTCGACTTTGACAACTCCTACCTTCATAACTGTTATAGCTAGAGAACTGAATGTTTCCTCAAAAAAAAATGTATGATCCCATATTTTCTCCCTATCTACTTGAGTTTTCACACTTTTGGCTAGTTTATACAGGGTGGTCAAGAACGCAGAATGATTAATCTTTTCACAGGTTTTCTTCTGATATAACTAAGAACACGCTTCCTTGACTTTCCGACTTGATTGTAGGTTAGGTAGATTTAATTTATAATGAAAATACACAGATTCTACCATCTGCCATTACCAACTGAATCCTATTTTTACTGAAAAATATACTGTAATATTTTTCATTTACCTTGACATCTACAAAAAGGTTAACTGCAACTCAAACGCCGATCGTGCAAACTCCCATAAAGCTTTTGAAAATGGGGTTAAAAAGGTGTGAAAATATATAAGGTGTTCCATTTGAGAATTTTAGGAAACTGTTAATTTTGCGTTCTTGGCCATCCTGTACAATCTGTCGGAAAAACTGAAACAGTAAGTGGATTAGAAGAATTTTTTTTAGTCGAGTTGCGTGTTGTGACCTGTTCGAATTCGTTGAGTAATACTGAGGACGGCACCCGCAGCGAAAAAGTCAATCATGCTGAAAATAAAATCCTTGTTTAGGGAATGCTCAGCTTACCTTGCAAAGTACCTCAACTGGTGTCGACATTTTCTTTTCGCTGATCTTCTCGTACTTCTGTTTCTTTGTAGCAGCCTTGAGACCTTGCCAAGGCAGGCTGCCTCTGTTGAAGTACATAAGTACATAACCTAAGGATTCCATGTCGTCCCTACGTGACTGTTCGATGCCCAGATGGGCGTTGATTGAAGCGTACCGGGCAGTACCTGAAAGTAACAACATAGTATTATAATTCTTACAGAAAATGATACCAATCAGTGTTTCAACATGAGTGACAAATGGGTGGTAGATGTAGGAACACGCTGAAGAACTGACCAAATCCAAAATTGATTTTCGCAACCATTTACATATGTGCAGCTGATGATTTCTTGCTAGGCACGTGAGGAATCAAAGCAAAAACAGGATAGAGTACTACAAACATTATTAATCTCAGACGCAAAAATAGACTGCACAGTTTATTTTCAAGAATTGCCTCACCAAATTCCCAAAATTTTCGTATTTAGTGTAAACGATTCATCTAATAGGAGAGTGAAATACTGTCTCATAATTTTACTCAGTTTCATTTTAAATACGTCAAAGAAACATTGTTTATTGATGTCATTTTCATTATTTGCTCAACTATTTGAATCTGTGCCAGAGGTTACAATCGTTTGTATGGCGTGTTTTTGCAAATATCGGAAATGACGTCTGAGTCAATAGAATAAGCGGAACTCCATTGTACTTTGTACTTTTAGGACGATAGCAGAAAGTTAATATTAGAAATAATATCAAATTCCATGAAAACATTCAATTATAGATTTATTAACTTTTAAGAAGATAACTTTTTATTTTTTCAACCATATTAAACAGGCGCAATATATTGAAAACTTGTATTCTTGAAGTCACCGGCTGCTGAAACAATGTTTCATTACGGATTTTTACCCAACCTTAATTTTTGCTTCAATTGTGAATGTTATTGAAATATGAATAAAGAAGTAATTTTTCAACGAATTATTTGATGTTTACATTTACTAATAATTTGTATACGCCTGGTCTTGCCAGAGAAAAAAAAACATTCTTTCAATTTTCTCTTGATATTACTCCCAAAGGTAAAATTTGGTTTGTTAAACATTGTTTTTAAAATTATTTTTTTATTTATTTAAATCATAAATATCAGTTGAGCCATGTAGCTCCCTATCACCATATACCATAGGTTAAATGTGGCTCGTTCAAGGTAGGGTATAAGGTATAGAGATATTTTTCTTTCAAAACGTTTTTGATGTACTTACATTTTATACAAGACATATCTAACTTTTTTTAAAATACATTAAACGTGAATGCAAGCGTGGATCCAGGGATACTCCAAGGTATTTTATATCTGATGCTGTAAATTTCTAATGTCTGATTATTTACGACAAAGGAGAAGTTGGTGTAATTTGGTAGATGTTTAGAATAGGAAGAAAATGGTAAAAAAATGTGTAATTAATGCTCAATTTTCTGTTATTAAGCCACTGGATAATCTTGATATCATTTTCAACCATTTTTTAAAATGAAACCAATCATCACCTTTATAAAGAACTGCTGTGTCATCAATAGATTAGTTTGGCTACGGATACTAACGCCGTCATCACAGCACAGCGCACAGTAAGCACCGAAAAACGGACAAAAAATACTCTACGGCATTCATAAGATTTTCAGTACAAGGCTTTTTGGATCGTTGATTTCAAATCTGGGGTTAGTTTGTCTCTATGAGTGCACTTGATAGCCACTTCAGTATCATAAACCAGAATTTGACAACTTTTCTTCATGGTTTAGGATTAATCTCGATGGAAAACGAACGGAAATTAAGCATTTATACTCTATAGAGTATAAGATCTATCGAAATGAGACAGGACAAAATGCTATTTTCAACACCAGAATCGACCAATACGAAAGTAAAAACGGCAAGCTGCCTGTTAGAACTGTATGCCAGTTCGCATTGCCATTTCTCAATTGGGGCAAAAAATGCAGAACATTATTAAAAACTTTTATTAATAATACTAGTATAAAAAGGTGAAACTAAAAATAGTAATTACGGTGGACATGAACACAACAATGACAGATTTCTATTACATCATATGAAAGTTCGTACTCGACTCAATCATGATCCATATTCAGATGTTAAAATAAATTTCAGCAGACTACACAGCGGATGATGGAGAAACTTGAATTTTGCCGTTAAAAAATAGTGTCGAATGATATACCACAAACAGTGTTTTTCGACTTCAAAAGGGCGTTTGAGACTATTGGCAGGGATAAATTACTTACAAAATTGCATCACTACGGATTTGAATTCAAAATTCTACAAAACTACTTAATTGACAGAAGTCAAAAAATCAAAATTGGATCTACATTATCAACCTCAAAAAATATTTCTGTTGGTGTACCGCAAGGTAGTAAACTAGGTCCACTACTATTTATTTTATACATTAATGACATTTGTAATATTTTAGATTATTGTAAAATTCAGATATTTGGCTATTTCTCAGCAAATTTCGAAATTCATGTCCTGAGCCATTGATGCTGCTGCATGGATTTATTATCAATTTAACATTTTTATTATATCAATAAGTATCTCTCTACATTAATATTTTAAAAGAGAATAGTTGAAGAGACACCCCCACCAAGTCCTACACCATCTTTACAGCACAGAACAGAGAATTTGTCTGCTCTCAATAGACGTAAAATGCGCAAGCGGCGAACTATTCTGTACGCGAAGATTAAAAGTTTGGGAAATAAAGTAAGGAACGCAGTCAAGCTTAGCGAAAAATATAACAAGAAAAATACTGACCCAAACTCTCCAGCAACTAAAGTGCCTTCGCTTTTAAAGAATATACAAGTTCCTGACGTTGTAACAAAAATACTCTTTTTTGGAGAAGCACTGCCAATGGACCTCAAGAATATCTATGAAGATCTTGGAAGTTAACATGGAGAAAAGAACATATATTACATGTTGAAGCTGCAATAAGTAAAAAAGATACAAATTGCTATATAGATCGAAACATTTTTTCAAAAACGATACAAAAAGAACTGTACTCGTCCGCTCCAAAATGCTGAAAGATAGGGGTGATGCTGTTCATTTCTTAGAGAATGATGAAAATACGAGGATGTGCCCTTTAAAGTATAAAACAAATCTCAATACATCCATTAATAAATTAACTTATGCTTTTTATTGAAATTCAGCATCAAATTGTAAAAATCATTCTCCCATCCTATCAGTCATTCCCTCATTTCATAGTTTTTAAAAGTAATTTTTCTACATGTTATACACAAAAATATGGAGGACCTTCATTTTCAGTGAACCTCACTAAAGTAATACTTTATATTTCTGCAAAAAAGGATATATTTTCATTATTTTTTTTTAAAATGCAAAATGAAATTCCTAAATTTGTTGAGAAATACCGATTTGCAGGTGATACATTGATATACATATCAGATGAAGATATAAACACTGCTTTAAAAATGCGAAATTCTGACTTTGAAATTGGTTAAGTGAAATAAACTAAAATTGAATACTTCTAAAACCAAATGTATACTAATAGGGAAATTCCTAAGCAAAAATACTATCACAGTTAGGATAAATTACTTTTATAGGGCCTCTTGGTATATATTAAAAAAAAAATAGTTTATAATACAATTATTCTACCGCATTTACTATATTGTTCAACTCTCTTGTGCCAATGAAGCTGTATTCATGCAAAATAAAGCTATAAGAATAATATTGAATAAAAATAAGTACACCAAAATAAAATCTATGCTACAAGAATTGCATTGGTTGAATATAAAAAAATTCATATCATATTTGGTTCTTATTTTTATATTTAAAATAAAAAATCATCTTTTGCCACAACATTTAGAACACCACATATAATTGAATAATCATTACCACAATTATTATACAAGAGGGAATATAGATTTTCATTTACAAAATTGCGATAGTAATATAACTAGCAAATCAATATTTTAGAAAGGAATACTTGAATTTATTAACTAAATAATGATATAAAGTCTACATGTAATTTAAAGATATTTGAAAGAAAATTAAAGGAATATTTCATGCACAGTGAAAATTCTTGGAGGTGCAATTTTTGTTTTTTCTAAATATCTGTATGTTATGTATTTGTTTAGTATGTAATTGTAGCAATCATGCTAAATAAATCTTAGAGAAACAATCTCCAAGTTCTGAATTCATGGCCAAGTTATATTTTATGTTTTGGTTTTTATAATCTCTGTCAGGTTGTTGCATAAATGGACCCACTGAGGGAGGGCTCTTAGGATGGATTCAGAAATTCCTACCAGATAGAGAAAAACGTGGAGAGAAATATGAGCGACTGGCGTCCGTCTCCGACTAACCTGATACAGTGCTGTTTCACTCTCCTTAGGACCATCAGTATGGTAAATGTCTCATATCCAACTAGACCAGAATCTTCACCTGTCAGTGCTTTGAAGTTGATAATAATTAATCTAACGTAAAATACTTACCAGTTAAATTTTTGTCTTCGCGATATCCAATGTGTATCCTAGTCCTGACATCACGGAATTTCTTTGCCAGACCAAAATCGATAAGAAAGAGTTTGTTGCAATGGCGTCCTATTCCCATCAGGAAGTTGTCCGGTTTTATATCACGGTGGATAAACGATTTGCAATGGACATATTCAATACGACCTGAAAATTAAAAAAAATCTAATCACCAACATAAACTGTTGTGATGAAAAATGTATCAGCTATACTCTTTTTTTGTGACAGTGTTTATAGTTCTGGTCTGCACAGAAAATAATTGAACTCAAATAGCTTCAAAACGATTGAAGATAGGGATAAACTATGTTATACAAAAGTTACTAAAAACTTCATGAAAATCTGAAAATTTATAAAATGTGGGTTTCCATTTAAAAATCTAAACAGTAATGCAATATCTTATTTTTGGATCACCTTGTATTGTACAGCTATAGATGAAAAGACATCCCCCTAGCGATCAAAATTGACTTGTCTGAGCGATTTTCCAAAAATGTACCAGGAGAGTCACAAATAGGGGTGTGACCTTTTCGTTGGGCCACCCTATACAGGGTGTTAAATATAGATAAAGAGACGTTTTATTATTTCCATTATCCATACGATTTCTGGTATTACATTAGACTAAGTGATATTTTGTTTGTAATATAAAAATTGATTACTTGTTCGTTTATATACCACTAGACAGCGTACCTATCATCTGATCGGCCAACATGAGGACCGTCTTAATAGTAAACCGGCGGGAGCAGAAGTTGAACAGGTCTTCCAGTGACGGACCGAGCAGGTCCATGACGAGTACGTTGTGTTCTTTTTCTTGGCCATAATATCTGCAAAGAAAAAAGTAACATTTCATTAAACAGGTCCCTCTGCGATTTCCTCGACCAATTTATAATTTATCTGCTGATTAGTCGAACCGTGTAAGTGACTTTGTACAATCAACTGTATTCGAAAAAATGCGGAGCTATGAGAACACCTAGAAACCTTGTTTTTTGTAATTCGAGTATCTTGCAGTTATTGGGTGTACAAAAAAAATGTCTTTCAATGAATCGGTCAGTGCACAAATCTCGTTAAGTCCCATAATGTGAATTTTTCAGGACACAAAAACTGGGCCACTAATAAACCATTTTTTTTTTGAGATTAACGTAGCATTGGAGATCTAGAAGATTAAAATTTCAAGTATGGTCGGTACCAAGAGAAATCGCGACTCCCTAAAGTGAATTCATTTCTATCACTTGTCGGTAGAATTAATTTCAAGAATACTGCATTTCTTGGCCACACCCACATTTTGTCAGTTTCTCTCACAATTTCTACTCCCTAAAACTCAAGAATAGAGGTCCAGGCATCAAAATGTGCTTCTTCAACAAAAAACTTGACTTTGCAAGGTAAGTTTTGTGCATGTAATTTCATCTTTATACCATCTATACAAACAGCTATTTAAAATATTTAGCGTACATTCAAAGGGTCTTATCAGTCCTACAAATGAGAAGAATTGAGTCATTGGTTTTTGTAGGAAACAAGAAAACTTTCAAACAACGGGGCAAAGAGGATACATAAGTATACTCTTAATTTTTTAGTTAGTGAATTTCAAATTGATTTTTTGGTACATATACTAAGTGACATATAAATCCGAACACCCAGTTTAAATGGTTTTATTTTAATAAAAGTTGGTGAATGTATTTATCTTACTGTAAATAACAAGTGAAAAAATTTTCAGCCTCATAAGTTGGACATTCCGGTTTTTATACTGCTTTTTTTTAATTCACTAACGCTCTAAAAATGAATATTTCAGCCGCAGTAAAGAATCAACGTTGGCGGATTTTGGTTCTTGACAACCTTTACGATCGGTTACGATGCCTAGAGTACGGAGACCTGTACGATTTCGTCAACTTAGTGAGTTTGACAGGGGCCGTATAGTGGGACTTCGGGAAGCTGGACTTTCTTTTCGGGCAATTGCAGTTAGAGTGCAAAGAAATGTAGACATTGTGGTTAGGTGTTGTCAGGCATCTCTTCGAGAAGGCCGTACGCAAAGAGCAAGGGGCACTGGACGCCGCCGTAGAACAACAGACCGTGTAGATCGCTGCCTAAGATTATTGGCCTTAAGGGACCGTTTCTCCACTACCAGGTCCATTGCAAATGAATGGTTTGCAGAACACGGAAGACCTATTGGCATGCGAAGTGTTTACCGACGAATGAGAAGTTTTGGCTTGTTTTCATACCGGCCACACTGGGTCCTCCCTTTAACTCGAGAACACCGACGTAATCGCCTTGAGTGGTGCAGACAACGGTCACTCTGGGATCAGGAATGGAACAGTATTGTCTTTAGTGACGAGTCTCGATTTTGTTTAGGCATGCACGATGGTCGTGCCAGGGTTAGAAGGCGACGTGGTGAAAGGAGGAATCCACAGTTTTTTGTTGAAAGACATGTTCATCACACTGTTGGAGTTATGGTTTGGGGTGCTATAGCTTATGGTTCCAGGTCACCTTTAATTTTCATCAGAGGTAACATGAATGCGCAGCGTTATATCCACGAAGTTCTAGAACCCCATGTTTTAACCTATCTTGACACCCTGGCAGATCCAACTTTCCAACAAGATAATGCCCGACCACATGTTGCAAGAGTCACAATAGACTTCTTTCAACATAATGATGTCACATTGTTACCATGGCCACCAAGATCTCCCGACTTATCCCCAATTGACCACATGTGGGATATGATGGGTAGGAGATTGCTCAATTTGCAACGTCCTCCTCAAACTCTAGAAGCACTTCGAGAGGAGTTGGTGGTTGCCTGGAATGAGATACCACAGGAGGACATTGACCACCTGATCAGAAGCATGCCTAGGCGCGTTTGACTGAGTGACATGAATTTCGAGCAACTGGGTGCTATCAGGTTTTGCTTCAAGCTTGGGCACAGTGCAATGGCAACTCTTGCTAAACTTCAGAAGGCCTACCTACATAGTGTTTTGTCAAGAGCCCACGTTATCTGGTGGTTCAACGCATTTTCAGAAGGCTGAGAATCGACTGAAGATGAGCCACGAAGCGGAAGGCCTTCATCTTCAAGAACCCATGAAAATATCCACAGAATCTGGCATCTTGGCGTTCAGATCGTTCATTGACGGTCAGAATGATCGGGGAAGGGAAAAATCTACGTAAAAATGGTCCCAAAAAACCTTTCGTAAGACCAAAAGGACATCACGAACGAAAGGTGCCTTGACTTTTTGGATTCGATTGAAAATCACCCCATTTTCTGGAACGTGTCATTTCTGGTGACGAGTCTTGGATGTTTGAGTCCGTCCTTGAAACCTAGCGTCAAAGCATGGAGTGGCACACTCAACCTCTCCAAGGTCAAAGATCAAATGTATGCTGATTTGTTTTTTCGATATCCACAAAGAGTTTCTATCCCAAGACCAAACGGTAAATCAACACTTTTACCAGGAGATCCTTGAAAACCTCCAATAAAAGGGTCATTCGTGTGATGCCCAACATCAAGAAAAACAGGGTGTTGCAAACCGATAATGCTCCTCGTCACACAGCGATGTCAATAAACGAGTTTTTGGCCAGTAAAAACATTCCTTATACAGGGTTTGTCCGGAAAGTAATAGGACTGAGTCGATTTAAAAAAAATTATTGAGCCAATCGTTACAATTCTTTAAAAACTTTCAAAATAGGCTCCTTCTGCGCTGCCAGCGCGATTTCCAAGCATTGAAGGCGTCACGGAAGGCATTCTCCGGAATAGCCTTGAGAGCCGCGGTGCATGCTGATTGGATCCCCTCTGTCGTCTCAAAATGATTGCCTTTCATCGGCCTTTTCAGGCGAGGAAACAAAAAAAGTCCGGGGGGTCACATCTGGGCTGTAGGGCGGCTGCGGAAGCGTTGGGATGCCGGCCTTGGTCAAGTAGCTGTTCACAAGAAAGGCGGTGTCAGCCGGGGCGTTGTCGTAGTGCAACTTCCAGTCAGCTGCGATGTCTTGTCGGACCCGACTGACCCTTCGTTTGAGTCTCCTGAGCACTTCCACGTAAAACTTGGCGTTAACGGTTTGTCCAGGAGGAACAAATTCATGGTGGACGATGCCTTTGATGTCAAAAAAGACAATGAGCACTTTGGATTTGCTCATTCTTCCCTTTTTTGGGCGAGGAGACGCCGTCGTGTGCCACTCGGAAGATTGCCTCTTTGTCTCGGGCTCATACTCAAAGATCCACGACTCGTCACCTGTGATTACGTTATTCAAAAATTCAAATTTTCTTGGCACACTTCCACTCGCCGCAATTTCTGGTCGTCAGTGAGTACTTTTGGGACCATTTTCGCGCGCACCTTGCGCATGTTCAAATGCTGTGTCACAATGTCATGAATCACAGATTTTGGTAAATTTAACATCTGGGCAATTAAACGAATATTTAGTCGACGGTCTGAGTTCAAAACTTTGCGCACACGAGTCACATTATCGGTGTTTGTCGAAGTCGAAGGTCTCCCATTCCGAAGGTCTTCATCAGCGACCTCTTCCCGGCCCTCCAAAAAGGCCTGGTGCCACCGAAACACACCACTTCTTGCTAAAGCAACACCTGGGTAAGCCTGCTTGATCATATCAAACGTCTCTGCCGCAGATTTACCGAGTTCCAGACAGAATTTAATCGCGTACCTCTGCTCTAACGAACGCTGTATTTTCGGCTTGCACCACTCCCAGAAACACGTCGCGCGAAAATGCCTGCCCTGACTCTCCAAGTGCTCGGAAACAACTGACTAGCCGCTCCTTCGTTAGCTAGGAACGCCCTCTACCGAATCCAGTCGGTTCGCGCACGCTCCGAAGTACAGTCATGGCGGAAGAAAATGAGTCCTATTACTTTCCGGACAAACCCTGTACGCCTGACTTGAGTCCTTGTGAATTTTTTTCTTCCCGAAGTTGAAAACTCGCCTCAGGGAAAATCATTTTTTGACAGTCGGAAACATTCAAACGGTTGTAGTTGTAACCGAACAGCAGAAGGCTATTCTGAGTCCCAGCACTGCTATCAGGCGTGAAAGAACCGTCTCCTGCGCTGTCTGGCTTCAAAAGGAATTTTGAGGGTGATAATATGTATGAGGAAAATGGACATATGAAATTAATGTTTCTCAAATTATGATCATTATGATTTTTTTCACAGTAGTCTTTGGTGAGTAATTACGTTTCATAGGAAAACTTTAAGAAACGTCTTTCAAATAAGTCTATGTTGTCAAAAGTTTGGAGGATATAAACAAAAATACCTCACATCACGTTTGGAATATCAGCAATTGTCTTTTTACCAAAATATACTAAGTGACATGTAAATCCGAACACCCAGTTTAAATGGTTTTATTTTAATAAAATTTTGTATAAGTACTTAATGAAGCATAATAAGTAAATGATAAAAATTTCAAAATGATTGCACTGCTTTAAAGCCCTTTGACCTATAATAATGTGTGGATGCACCCTGATGTGCTACGCATTCTTCAACGCGCCTAGGCATGCTTCTGATCAGGTGGTCAATGTCCCACTGTGGTATCTCATTCCAGGCAACCACCAACTCCTCTCGAAGTGCTTCTAGAGTCTGAGGAGGACGTTGCAAATTGAGCAATCTCCTACCCATCATATCCCACAGTGCTTAATTGGGGATAAGTCGGGAGATCTTGGTGGCCATGGTAACAATGTGACATCATTATGTTGAAAGAAGTCTATTGTGACTCTTGCAACATGTGGTCGGGCATTATCTTGTTGGAAAGTTGGATCTGCCAGGGTGTCAAGATAGGGTAAAAGATGGGGTTCTAGAACTTCGTGGATATAACGCTGCGCGTTCATGCTACCTCTGATGAAGATTTAA